TTACGCCCCCTCTGCCCCTCCCGCGCTCCCCCAACCCATCCCTGGCCCAGGGTGCAGCAGCACGTTCCCCTCGTGCCCGCAACTCAGCAGCACCTCGTCCAGGATCGCGAGCCCCGGCACCGCCACCCCTCGCTCGCTGCCGCTTCCCGCCATCAGCCCCCCACCCCACCCCTGCATCAGGTTCAGCAGCCCCCGCCGACGCTCCCGGTGCACTGACGCTATGTGCTGCAGACACGCGCCGCTCGCGACGTCCCACAGCGTCACCGACCCGTCCGCGTGCCCCGCCGCGGCCACCTCCGTGCGCGCACCGTCCGGCTCCACTCGCAGCCGCCCCGCGGTCAGTCGCGTGACTGGCGCTCGGGTGCCGCCTCCAGGGACAGCGAGCGGCGTCGCACCGGGCGGTGCAGGCGACCCCGCGCCGTGCGCGCTGGCACTTGGATCCGGCGTCGCTGCCACCCACAACGGCGCCTGCCGCTCGTCAGTGCCCACCATGCGCAGGTCGTAGCAGCACAGCGCGCCGTCCTTGCCTGCGGCGATGATGTGCAGCCCGCCGTCCGGCTGCGCGATGCAGTTGCATCCGCTCGCGTGCGTCTGCAGCACGGCGACCGGCCCCGCGGCCGGCGGCGTGGCCGTGTCCCACACGGCCAGACTCCGGGCCGCCATGCCAAGCCCCGCAACGACGAGGATGCTGCTCGAGGACCCCAGGAACGCCACATCCTTGCCCTTGCGCGAGAAGCACCGATGCGACCAGTCCGGCACGCCGGCGTGCGCAACCACCGGTCCGTCGATCGGCCACGCCGCCGCGGTGCCCGACCGCAGGACGCCGGCCATGCGCTGCCCACACTTGCTGAAGCACACCTGGCTGACGTGCGTGAACGGGTCCTGCGCGAAGTGCAGCTTCCCCGCGTGCCCCTCGGCGTGGAACGCGTACGTCGCGAGCGCCTCCGTGCAGTCCCACGGGTTGGTGCAGTCCCACGCAGCCACCCTGGCGCCCGACGCGCCGGACGCGAGCAGCGAGCGGTGCGGGTGGCACGCCAGCGCGCGCGAGTGGATGCGGTCCGACGGCAGCACGACGGCTCCGGGGGGCCGCTCGCCCGGTGCGGGGCCGTACCGCGCCACTCCTGGCGGACGCAGGGGCGTCCCGAACGACCGCGCGCCGTCCTGCCCCGTCGGCGTCGCCGCCTGCCGGATCCCGTCGATCGCGGACTGCACCATCCCGAACAGCGAGCGGCTCCGGGAGAACGCAGACGCCGCAGCCTTGGCGCGGGTCTGCGTCTCCGTCCAGCGCGCACGCATCGGCGCCGACGCTGCCTCAACGCGCAGCCCCTGCGGCGTGCACACCGCCAGGAGCGGTGCAGCCGCGCGCCCGGACTCGCCGGCGTCCCGGAACGGGCACGCAGCGAAGGCCACGACGTTGCGGCGCAGGCAGAGCATTTGCATCGCGGGGCCCAGCGGGCCCGTGGAGGACGCGGGGGCGATCGCCGCCCCCACGGTCGTCGAGGACGCAGCCCCGAGGGACCTGCGGCTCTCCGAGGCGCGGCAGTCCCAGGAGGGCGTGAGGGACCCCTGGCGGTGCGCGAGCCACGCGTCCGCGCTCCCGTCGCCCTGCGTGGCGTGCGCGCTGGCCAGCGCACGCGCGAGGATGTGCGCCGTGATCGCGCCCGTCGCCGCCGCCGCGCCCGCTGCTGCGCTGTCCCCCGCGGGCCGGTCCGACGGCAGCCCACGCGACTCCAGCACTGATGCCACGCCGCTCCAGCTGTGGTCGTCGCCGCTGAACAGCGCAGCCGACACGGCGGCCGCGACGGCGGCAGGGTCCTTGCCGCATGCACCGCGCGGAGCCGCGACGAGCACCGCGGCCGTGCAGGCCCGGGCGAGGGCCTGCGACACCGCAGCACGCTCTGAACGCTGCACCTTGGATTCTGCGCCGGTCGCCGCGCTCACGCCTGCCCACTGCGCCGCCGCGGCGACTGCTGCATCGGGTCGACCAGCAGCTGCGCAGCTGGCCGCGTGGCACGCGAGCCTGGCGCCGAGGCCGGCCAGGAGCGCTGGCGCTGCCGTCACTCTGTCGTGGCACGCCAGCTGCAGCAGACTCTCCGTTCCGAGCAGAAGCGCATCGGCCCACGCGACCGTCTCGCTGACCATCGATTCTGGGCACAGCCACGCCCGTGCGAGCTCCGCCTCCGCGGCGACGTCGTCCCCGAGCGCCGTCAACAGCAGCCATCGCTCCGCCCCCGGTTTCGCCTCCTCCAGGGCGCGCTCGACGATGCTGGCCCGCACGGCGCGCGCGTTCGGGTCCTTGGACACCGCACAGAGCAGCAGCGCGAGCTGCACGTCCCCCAGGTCGCGTGCACACACGTCAGCGGCCTCCTGAAGCCCTCCCCCGAGCAAAAACATGGCGGCGGCCATCGCGTGGCGGCGCTGGCTCAGCAGAACGAAGGCATTCTTATGCGCGGCCTGGCGGTCCTTGTCGGACTCGAACCCGCGCGACAGAAAATCAACCAGCCGGGCCTGGTTGCCCTGCACGCGGCACAGACCCTGCAGGACGCTCTTCCGACCCAGCGCGATGTGCCACAGCGCGCAGGCCTCCGGGTCCCTGGTCGTCGCGTACTCCGCTTTCGCCACGCGCTCGGCCGTGGCGCGGGCCAGTGCGGGGTCGGTAAGCCAGTAGCCGACGCCACAGAGCCGCAACGCGTGCCACGTCGGCGCGGCGCCCTCCCCGCCTGAACGCGGCCGCGGCACGACCTCGGCGACTGCGTCCACGCAGCGATCGAGGAGCGCCGCCTGCGCCGTGGAAGCCATCGCGCGGGCCAAGGTTGGCGGCATCAGGCCGGCCAATAACCCCCCCCCTGCCAAGGCTGCACCCCCCACCGGACCTGCGCCCCCACCGGCCACCTCCTTCGTGCCGTCCGACCGGGAGAAGGCCCCGAACAGGTGCGAGAAACGGCCCCTGCCCGCGTCGTCGCCGCGTTCGCCCTCGCCGCCGAGGGTGCTCAGTCCCTGCAGCACCTTCTGCGCGGCCACGCAGCACTCCAGCGCGCCAACCACCTCCTTTGCTGGACCGTCGAGGTCTCCCCCCTCGGGCGGGCTCGCAAGCGCGTGCGCCAGCCGCACCAGCCCTTCTGCGATCGACCGCCCAGCAGCGGGCCCAGGTGCCACGTCCGTGGCCAGCTCCCCAACCGTCGACGACGCGAGCAGCCGGAAAAGGCCCTGCGTGACCTCCGGAGCCACCTCGCACCGCGTTCCGGCCTCCTCGGCGTCGAAGTCCCACAACTTCGGCCCCGCTCGCGATCGCCCCGGCGCCAACGCAGCAGCGCTCTCTACCAGCCCGCACCGCTCGAGCAAGTGAGCCAGAGCGGCGGCATCGGCGGGCGCCCACTGCGGCTTCGCGGCCGCGCTCCGCTGCAGCACCGCTCCCGACCCCCGCTCCGCGCCGCCGGCGAGTCTCCCCTCGTCAGGCACCACCCCCACGGCCTCCGTCTGCGCGCCCGGCTCGTCTGCTGAGAGCCGTGGGGCAGGGACTGAGGAAGCGCCGAAGGCGGACGCGTCGAAGGCGTATGGGTCCCCTCCGGGCCGCTCGTCAGACTCGCCGAAAGCAGTGGGGTTGAACGCGAATGGGTCCTCGCTTGCCGCCGGCGGCTTTGCCCCCGCGCCGCCGAACGCGCTAGGGTCGAACGCGAAGGGGTCCGCCGCGCTCGGTGCTTGGCCCGCAGCGGGTGCACGCGGCTGCGGCGAGGGTTGCGGGCCTGAGTGCCCCCCCGCTTGACCCACTGCAATGTTTCCGTGGTCGTGCGGGCCGGATGGCCCTGGCACGTCCGCCGGCGCGGGTCGGCGCTGCGGGAGTGCGTTCCGCGACTGAACGGTGTACGTGGACGTCCTGGCCGCCACGTCTGACAGCGAGATGCCCGCCCGCAACCACGCGCGCGCCACCTCCTCCTCTTCCGGCGTCGTGATCGAGAACGACGTGCTCCCCTCCTCGCGGTGCGCGTCGAGCGTGGCCAGAAGCATGGCGCCGAGGTGCTTGAAAAGCAGGCCCGCGACCGCCAGGTGCCCGCGCAGAACCGCACAGGTGATGTTGGCAGCGCCGGCGGGCACCTCCCGCCAGCCCGCCAACAGCGACCCCCTGTGATCGTCGCCCCGGCCCGCAGTGAGCATCGTGCTCACCGCGGCCATGTCCTCCGCCGGCACCGCGGGCGAGGACACCAGCTCAGTCCCCACTGCAGCCACCACGAGCGCGGGACCCGCCAGCCGCAGCCCCTGCGCGGGCGACGGCAGCGGACAGATCTTCTGAAGAGGCCCCCAGCGACCCGTGCGCGATCGGGACGAGGCCAGCACGGCCAGTCCGTGCGCTGCCATCAGCACCGGCGCCAGAACTGACTCAGTCCATGCCAGGCTCGTCGACTCCCCCTCCTCGTCGACCAGCTGCATCGCCGCCTCCTCGCGCCCCGTGCCGACCTGGAAAATTCGCACCGTGCAGCCGTGCTGCGATGACGTCGCGCTCGCCAGCCACGCCCCGGACCCATGCGCTGCCAGCGCAGTCACGGTGCTGGCTGCGTCCGATTCCCGCACCACGTGCGCGATGCGGGCCGCCACGTGCGCAGCGAATCCGTCCGCGTCAGAGCCTGCTTCCGCCGGGTACTCAGCGCACACCTCGCTCGCCGGCACCACCGTCGCCCCGCCAGCGTGCATTGCAAGCAGGTGGGTCGTCGAAAGCGCGCATGCGTGCGAAATGCGGGCTTCGACGGGCACGTCCCGCTGCCACGCGACGGCGAGCGGCTGCCCGACCCTGCAGTCCACGCCGATCACTGTCGCGCCGGCGTCCGCGGCCCGGTTCGCGAGGACGATGACCTGCTTCCGAAAAGGGTCCAGCACCGCGGCCACCAGGTCGCCCGAGAGCTGCAGGGACGCGCCGTCCTGGTGCCAGGCCGCGCCGGCGTCCTGCTTGAAGCGCACGATCGACGACGCGTGCGCCACGAGCAGCGGGCACGGCGCGGCCTTGAGCTTGCCGCTGAGCTCGTGCGCCCAGAGAAGGGCGACGACGTCGCTCTCGCCCTGGCCGGCAGCGGCCGGGAGCGCGGCGATGCACTGCATGCCGGGCAGCGCGTGGACGAAGATGTCGCCGTGCTCGGTGGCGGCGGCCACGCAGCGCGTCGGCCGCGGCGACCCGCTTTGTCTGCACGCGCCGTTTCCAGCGCTGATCGCCACGATCGTGGACCGCGGCACCTTCCAAGCGCTATCAACGAGGGGCTCGACCTTCAGGGACTCGGTGCGCGCGATCAGCGGCTGCGGGACCGACGCTGCGGGACGCGGCAGCGGCGGTGCAGATCCTGACGGCGACAGGGGCTCGCTCTTCGACGACTGCGGCGTCCTGGCGGTGGACAACGGCGTGAAGCTGCGCCGCGCGTCCGGCTGCGGCGTGACGGGGCTTGGGGGCGCGCTCGGGTCTTCCGGAGGTGTCGCGGCGGCGACGGTGTCGACGGCGTAGCTGCACGTGCGCACCGCACCGGCCTCCGTCCACGTCGCGTTGAACACCAGCATCGGTCTGTCACGCACGTCGGCTGCGTACGTCGTGTAGGACGCCGACTCGGCCGCCCCGGGCCCCGGCCCCACCCCACACAAGCGGAACCTCCCCCACGGCGCACAGCGCGGCTGCGCCGCGGTCCGCGACAGCTGCGCGAGCGTGCCCGTAGGGATCGAGACGGGCTTGAGGCCCTGCATCGCCCAGAGACGCACGACGTCCCCCTCGCGCTCCGCGCTGCCCGCGACGGGCGTCCATCGCAGGACCACCCACCAGATGTCCTGTGGGCACGCCAGCGCGCCGACTGATGCGGGAACGGGTCTCGCCCAGTGCACACAGACGGGCTTCAGACCGTCGTTCGGTCCCGGCGCGCCGTCGAGCTTCATCGCCACGCACAGCTGTGTCGACTCCCCCCCGTCGGGTGTTGCGATCGTCACGTCGACCCAAACGCGCACCGCGAAGTCTGCGCAAGCAGCCACGGCGCGCTCGGATCAGCAGTCATCGCTTGCGCCGAAAGCCAACCGCAGAGGCCAGGCCAGCTTGGGTGCACCGGCAACGTACCAGCGCCGCAACATCGAAGCGCGCGTCGGTCGCAGAGCGGAACAAGCAGAATACACGCGCGGTACGCGGGCAAGAGGCGCGCACCGGTCGTCATGGTGAGCAGCGCCGCGCTGTGGCCCTCGTAGCCCTTCGCGGGAGTCCACTCGCACCCACTCTCGATCGGCGCCGGCGTCCACTCCGCACTCCTCACCGGAGCCGGGTGCTTCAGTTCGTCCAGCTTCGCCGTCATCTCAGGGTCCGCGGCGCCCTCCTCCGCCTCTGGAACAGGCACGATGAGGGGGAGTGAAGGGGAGGGGTCTCCGCTGGGCACCGCGGCGCACGTGGACGTCGGACGGAGGCCCGGGGCGACCGCCGCACACGCGGTGGACGTGCGCGTCGTCCAGCAGAGCTTCCAGTCGCCTCGACTGTCGCTGGCCGCATGTCTGTTGATCCTCCACATAGCCAACGTGGCGTCGTCGGACGACACGAGCAGGCCGTGGCCGTCCGCGGTGAATGCGGCGGCGAGGATGCGGCCCCGTGCGAGGACACGGCCGACCCCGCCAACGTCGAGCGCGCCGGCGGCACCGCTGTTGGCCTCGAGGAGCGGCAAGCGAGCCACGCGTGCTGCCTCGCCCTGGATCCCCGCCGCCTCGCCGATGGCGCTGATGGCGACATCTGTGACGATATGATCGCTCGCCAGGGCAACTTTGCGCCACACAGCTGGCCGTGTGGAGGTCTGCGAGCGGGGTGAGTTGCACTTGAGCGCCCCGTCATCGACACTGTGTGCTGTAAGCGCAGCTCTCTGCCGCAGACGATTGATATTCGTGCGATTTTGCGGAGATCTGTCACGACACCCGCGACCATATCCGTCAAACGAAGCTCCTAGGCGCCAAACGATGCGCTGGTGGCCTTCCTGGGCGAGCTAGCGCACGGCTCGTCGAGGCCACTCTCGGCTGTTACGAACAGATACTGTGTTCGATGGGAGGTGAGCGTACCTGGGGATGGAGGCAGCAAATATGCCCGTCAGACGAGCCGAACGCAATGCCAGAGGCCGCTGCGCCGGGCGCTGGCGTCACAGCCTGCGGCGCCGAGGCCGGGACCGGCGTCGACCACGCCAGCTCCTCCTCGGCGACCGGATCCATCCCCTCCGATCCAGGGCCCCGCTCTTCTCCTCGCCTCGAGCCGCCTGTGCTCTACTTTGCCATGGCGTGGAGGCTGGTCCGCGCAGCGCCTGTGCACTTCAGCGCGTCATGCCCACTCGCGCCCGACCCCCGCACGACCTGCGCTTGTGCCCGCGCGCCGGCGCCGCGCCGCCCATCTCTCCCGGGGCCGCGAGGGCGCTCTGGGGGTGTATTGCACCTGACAGCTGCTTCGTCGAAGTTCGACACCGCAGCTCGTCGCGGCTGTGGCGTCGCGGGCCCGCCGGCGCCGCGCAGATTCGCGCAGGATCCAGCGCGACTGCTGGCGTGCTGCGGCCAGGTCCCACGGGTGTGCTGCGAGGTCGCGCTTCTGTGAGTGGGATGGACGAGGTCCAGTACAGGCGGGCCGCCGATGCGCTGAAACGGCAGGTGAGGCGGATGCGCTGCGGTGCGTGCGTGCTTCGCAGCGCGACGGGGCTCGCGACTGCGCGGGCCGGGCGGCTGGGTAGTTGGCGGGAGGGTTGGCTCGCACACACCGCTTGTTCCCGCGGACGGCACCGCTCCCCCGCAGGCGCACGGCGACTGCATCCTTGCGGGATTCGAGGAGTTCTGGGATCCACCGCGAAGGGCGGCGAACGGCGCGGCGTGCGGCCCTGATGCGGGCGGCGTGTTGCTGGAAGCTGCCCTGGACATACAGCACGTGTGCAACGTAACGAAGGCGAAGCAGGCACCGAAACTGCTCAAGAAGTCCACGAAGGCCGTCCCGTCGGACAAAATCGTGCTTTCGCCCAGCGCAGAGGCCGTGCGCGAGTGCGTGAGAGCCTCGTTCCAGGACGCCTCTCCGCCCCTCAGCCTCCAGGATCTGTGTCGCGACGAGACGCTCAGGAGCCTCATACTCGACAATCACGGCCCGCGTGGCCACCATCCCCCGTGGTGGCCCCCACAGCCCGACCTCCTCCTCAAAGTGCTCCTGGAGACCCTTCGCGGCTCCGACGGGGTGCCCATGTTCATGCGCCCGCTTCTCGAAGCGAAAGCTCAGCTCAATCGGCAACCGTCCGAGGCGGAGAAGATGAAGCACATGAAGGCGCTGTGGCTTGCGCTGCGCAACGACCCCGCGCACACCTCGGCGAGCGTCTCGCAGCGAGACCGCGAAGAAAACGCCGACCTGCTGGCCAGACTCGAAGCCGACATCAGGTAGCCGCCGCAGCCCACTCGACCCGCGACCAGAACGTTCCCGGCACACCGGCGCTTTCGCGTCCCTGCCCCCGCGCCACGTGCTGCGCGGCCGCCGCCCGGACGAACCCGGCACGCGCCGCGGGTCCCCGTGCAGGGCCTGGTCGGTGACGGACCGCTGCACGGCGCCGCGCGCGGAGCTGTGCCACACGATCCAGGGCAAGGAGCACGAGGCCATCCTGAACGCGCACCTGCGCGCGCTCGGCGTGCCGTTCCAGTCGGAGCGGGAGTCGCGCGAGAGGAACGAGCCGTGCACGCCCGACGCGCTGCTCCTCGTGCCCATCATGATCACGGCGCCCGGCGCGGGGGCGGGGAGCGACCGCCTCGTGCACTGGATCGACTCCAAGGCCATGTTCGGGGACAAGACGGCGTACAAGGACAACGCGGCGCAGTTCAAGAAGTACGCCGCCGTCTTCGGGCCGGGCCTCGTGGTGTGGTGGTCGGGTTTCGCGCGCGACGCCCAGGCGGAGGCCCCCGGGGACATGTTGTTCATGGACCGCTTCCCGCGGCCCGAGGAGGTGCAGACGCTGCGCGCGGGACCCGAGGGGCCCGTCGCGGCGACGCTCACGTAGGGCGCGGGGCGGGCGGCGACGCGCGTGTGACGCGGGGCCGTCACGGCGGGCTCGTGAAAGAAGGTGGTGGCGTGAGGCGGCGGTGGGGTGGTCGAGGGTGCATGCGATGTTCGGGCGCCGCGTGTGGCGGCCGTGGGGATCCGCGGGGCAGTCGGCGCAGCGGCAGTGCCTGCGGCGTGTGCGGTGTGCCGCGCTGGGGCGGAGATGCGCTGCGGGTGCGAGTCGAGGAGTGCCGGTGGGCGCCAGTCGAGGTTCACCGTCTCGCTGTGCATGGCTGTGGGGGCCCAGGGCTGTGGCTGCGGAGAGGCCGCCTCGAGCTTCGCAACCGCGCGTGCGATCTGCCTCGTCACAGCCCAGGCACCAAGGGTGCGCGTCCATCTCGCTGCCGCCGCCGCCGAGCGCCCGCGACGCCGCCCTGGGCCGCCCGCCCGTCGTTGACTCCCGGGGCCCCGCGCACTCCTCCTCCCGAGGCCTAGGGGCGACGCGCGGCCGCCCGCAAGGCAGTTTCCCACCCGCGCAGCTGCGTGGACACGTCAGCGACCGTCCGCGGAGGCGGAGCTTGACTTCACGGCGAGCGGAGCGCGCGGCCGCGCACAGGGAGGGGCGCGGCGTTGGTTGCGGCGGGGCGATGGGGCTGTGGCCGAAGCGCTCCTCGCTGCCGTCGCAGCCCTCCACGGCGGACGAGCCCAGCCTCCCGAACAATGTCGACTCGCTGCGGCACATGGTCATCGCGCTGAAGAAGGAAAATGAGTCCCTGCGCAAGGCGGTGAGTCCCGACGGTGGCGGCGCGCCCCGCGGCCGCCTGTGCGCCCGATTCCGCGGCCCCCGCGGCCCCACTGCCATCTGACAGGGCCCTCGATGCCGCCGCCCCGCGCTCTCGCCTTTTGTTCGACGAGAGACCGGCTGGAAGGTCCCTGCCCTGTGCCCAGTCCCAGGCGATGCCCGTACGCCGCGGGAGAGGCCCTGACCCGCGCGTTTCCGGCTGCATTTGACGCCTCGAACTGTGGTCACGACGTCGAGATGACCTTGGCGCGTGGCTCGGCCTTCCACGACCCGCGGCTCGCCCTCGAATCCTCCCCAGCAAGCACGGCCAGAGGGCAACTTGCGCCGCTCCGTGAACAGCGCGCATCTCGGCGCGAATCCGCCATTTCCCGGACCCTCGCACCCGCGGCCCGCCGTTGGCCCGCCGGTTCCATCGCTTCAGGGCCCCGCGCGGCCGCTGCAGCGACGCCTGCTGGCTCTCCAGCTGCGTGCGCCCCCAGCACGACGACGCCTCAACGACCCGCTCGACCCGCCCACGAGCGCCGCCCGCGCGCCGCCACGACCTCCTCCGCGAAGCATCGAACCCCCACGGCGCCCGCCCGCGTCCGTTGCGCCACTCGCCCTCCCCTCCACCCATCGCGTGCTCCCACGCCAGCCCGCCACCACCCCTCCGCAGGCGCTCGCCGCGAACGGGAGCGGGCCGTCGCCCAGCCGGAGCGGCTACATGCACATGTACGAGGAGATGACGTCGGGCTTCTTCATCGGCCGCTGGCACCCGCGGTACTTCGTGCTCGCGGGGCAGAGCCTGGTGTACTACTCCCAGGACAAGGACCTCGGCATGGCGCCCCTCGGCGCCGTGGACGTAGCGGTGCGACGCCCCGCGCCCGCATTCCGCGCCGACGACCCGCCCGCCGCCCCGCGACGCGACTCCATCCGCGCCGCGCGTCCGATCCGGCCTCGCGAGGGTGACGCATGGCGCCGGGCGCGCGTGCGTGCCGGCCGGCGGTCGGTCCCACCGGCGCGCGGTTGTTGCCCCCGCGGCGTGTGCAGGGGTGCGTCGTGGAGTACGAGGGGCGCAAGAAGGGCAAGTACTGGGCGTTTGAGATCACCGACCAGTACGGGGAGTCGCTCCTGCGGCTGTCGACGGAGAACCACGCCGACTCGGACCGCTGGGTGAACGCGCTGGAGAACGCCGGGTGCTCGGTCATCGGCTTGACGGTGAGCGTGCGCAACAGCGACGCGTCCGGCCGCAACACCGTCGGCGGGGCCGACAGCGGCGACAACGACACCGCCACCTCCGGGCTCCGCGGCGGCAAGCGCGGGAGCTACGGCCCCGGGTCGCGCCGCACCTCCACGGGGGGCGGCGGCCTGCGGCGGCGCACGGTGGGCGACCAACGCGCCAGGGAGGGCGACGCGGACGGGAGGCTCCTGGAGCGCAGGGACGAGGGGCGGGCGTCCGACGGGGCGAAGAGCGAGAAGGCGGCGCGCGAGGGCCGCGAGGAGGACCGGCGCGCGGGGCTGCGGCCGCGCATGCGCGGGTCGACGCCGCTGCACCGCCAGCCGCGCTTCTCGATCCTGTCGTCTGAGCAGCTGTCGCACCACAGGCACTCGGGTGCGCACGAACCCCGCCCCGCCGCCGCCAGCGCCGTCGATGCCGCCCGGCCCCGTCGTCGCGCCCTCTCTTCCTGCTCGGACACGGGCGCCGCCGCGCCACGTCCGCGTCCCCGCGCGCTTCGTTCCGCACCGACCCCGCGCGTCCGCGTCCGCGTCCGCGTGTGCCTCGCAGGGATGATCAACCTGGGCATGGTGATCCTGTTCGCGACCAACTCGCGCCTGATCCTCGAGAACCTTCTCAAGTACGGCGTGCTCTTCCGCCCGATGGACTGGCTCGCGGAGCTGGGCATCGCGCCCGGCGGCAGCGCGATCTCGCCGCTCGTGTCGCTGTGCTGGGCGCTCCTGGCCACCACGCTCTTCCTCGGGCTGCAGATCGAGAAGCTGGGTAACAGCCTGTACGTGGGCGAGAAGGCCGGGCGGCGGCGCGCGCGCGTCACGGAGGCCGTGCTGTTCGTGCTGAACCTGCTCAACACGTCCGCGGCGCTGGTCGTCCCGTGCACGGCCATCGTGGCCACGCGCGCGCCGCCGGTGCCGTCGTTCGCGCTGTGCACTTGCGCGGTGGTGGTGTGGATGAAGCTGGTGTCGTACGCGCACTTCCACGTTGACATCCGCTCGCGGCGGCGCAAGCGGCAGAAGGTCCCGGGCGAGCGCGGGTCGGACGACGACCTGTACGCCGTCGACAGCCACCTCCAGTGGCCCGAGAACCTCACGCTGGGCAACATGGCGTACTTCGCGGCGGCCCCGACGCTCATCTATCAGATGGCGTACCCGCGCAGCCCGCGCGTGCGGCACCGCTGGCTCCTGCGGCGCGTGGCGGAGCTGGTGCTGTACATCACGGTGATGATGTTCATCATCGAACAGTACATCCAGCCGACGATGCGCAACTCGATGCGGCCGCTCGACGACATGGACTGGGTGCGCGTCGCCGAGCGCGTCCTGAAGCTGTCGATCCCTGTGCTCTACCTCTGGCTGTGCATGTTCTACGTGCTCTTCCACCTCTGGCTCAACATCCTGGCCGAAGTGCTGCGGTTCGGGGACCGGGAGTTCTACCGCGACTGGTGGAACGCGAGCACGATCGAGGAGTACTGGCGCATGTGGAACATGCCCGTGCACAAGTGGCTCCTGCGGCACGTCTACTTCCCGCTGGTCGCCATGCGCATCCCGCGGTCGGCGTCGATGCTCGCGTGCTTCTTCGTGTCCGCGGTCTTCCACGAGCTCGCCGTCGGCGTCCCGCTGCACGTGGTGCGCGCCTGGGCCTTCTTCGGCATCATGTTCCAGGTCCCCATGGTGATGATCACCAACTGGATGAAGAAGTCGCTGCGCCACGAGACGCTCGGCAACATCTTCTTCTGGATCTCCTTCTGCATCCTCGGACAGCCCATCTCCATCCTCCTCTACTACCACGACTACTTCCTCAGCCAGCTCAACGGAGCGGGGACCCTCTGACCGCCGCGACGAGGGCCACACAGCGGACAGCCAACGGACCGCCGGACCCGCGCGCGCGGGCACATCGCCGCGCCGGTCCACCGCGGCCGCCGGCCCCGCAGCACCGAGGCTGCGTCATCGGCGCCCCACACATGTGGCTGCTGCAAGCCGCTTACTCCACCGCGCCCCAGTAATTAAAAGACGCACCCCCGCACACCCGGACCAGCAAGGCGATGCATGTCGAACCCCCCCTCCCCCCTCTAGAACCACTGTTTGTACCACTCCACCACCCTCGCCGGCCGTGCCGTTCCGCGGCACCTAGAGCGACCCCCCACCACTGCCCGCGCATCCTACCCAGCTGCATCGTAGCAGAGGCCGGCCATGGGCCGTGTGACCACGCAAGAGTAGTAGCCTACGCCGTCGTCCAGCCTTGCGCGGCGACGTCTCGCGCGAGGCGAGTGCCAAGCGAGAATTCCGCGCGTCGGGGGGCACCGCGCGCTCGGGCGTGGGGACCGACGGCACGTGCGCGCATCCGCTGCCGCCGTGGCTGGTCGGACCGGCACTGCAGCTGACGTGTGCAGTGCCAACTCCCCCCGAGGAGCATTCGGCGTGGTGGGTCGCCTGTCCGGGGCCCCTGCGCCAGAATCGCATCTCGTATCTTCCGTATCACAGTCGCGAATCGAACTCGAAGCTAGTCAGCGTGTGGAAGCGACCCTCGCGGAAAGGGAAGCAGCCAAAAGTCAAGCACCGCGGCCACTGCGCGACGCGGGCCTCGTCCCGGCGTTCTCACGGTGTGACGGCAGCTGACAAGACGGTGGCGCCAGCGCAGGAGCCCAGCCGGCCCGAGGGCCCCATGGCGGCGGTGGTCGTGCGGCGCGCCCTGCAGGGCGTGGCAGTGCAGGCGCAGCAGGTATGCCGGGCCCGTCGCCCGCACGCGATCATTCCGCCGGGCGCGAGGCGGCCCAAGTACACGGGCCATGTTACCAGCAGTGTCCACGCGCGAGGGGGCGCGGAGATGGTCCCAGCACCCCTCTGCGCGAGGGCCTGAGCTACAAATGCCAGCTCCGTCGCACGCCGTGTCCCGTCCCTCCGCGCTCCGCGGCTGAATGGCCCGGCGGCGTCGAGCGACGGCTGTGCGCAACCGAATCGGCCCGTTCGGGTCCCGGTCGAGCGACTGTGCCGCGCGCATTGCCCCCGTGCTCGTCGAGCCCAACTACCCGGCTCTCCCCTGCTTTTGCGCAGCTGGTGGTGGCACTCTCGCAGCCTGCGCTGCAGCTGCTCGCGAACTCGCGCGAGGCGGTGGCGAGGGCCGTGCGGGCGGCCCGGGGGGCCCCACGACGGGGCGCGGCCGAGCCTGCAGTTGCGCCAGCGGCCAACAGGGGCAGGCAGCCCGCCGCGGCCAAGCAGCGCGGCGGACGCGGCCAGGAGGGGCGCAAGGCGCAGGCGCAGCGAGGGCGCGCGGGGGGCCAGGGGACGGACGCGGCGCAGAGCAAACTGCTTTGGACGGCTGCGACGTCAACGCGGCACCAGGGCGCGCGGCAGGTGTCGCGCTGCCACGAACTGGACGACCAGGAAGAGAGCCGGCAGCTCTTCTTCGACCTCTGCTCGTTGTAGCGCGCGGCGGGCCCGTCCTGACGACGCGGTGCATGCATTGTGACTGTCTCTCGTTCAACAACACTGGCTCGGGGCGTGGGGCTCAGCGCGCGGCTCCGCATCGCTCAGCGTGTGCGTCGCTGGCGTCCGGCGTCGGAGCGACAGCGGGGTGCGGCGCGGCAGTCGGTCCGAGGTCAGCGAAGTACAAACAGACACGCTCCCGGGGGGCGTCACAGCTGGGCTGCGCGCCCGCCGTCAGCGCGTCCGCTGCCTGGGAGGTGCCGCGCTCATGTGATTCGCGGTGCCGCTGTGGGGAGCGCGGCCACGGGGCATCGCCCTGCACTCCCACCCGCCAGGCAATGCGCTGCCGACGACACGTAGCCCCGCCGCACCAGGCCTCGCCACGTCCCTTCGGTCCCTCGCTCGATCATGTCAATAGGGGGTCCGGACAGAACTGCGGGGTTCGCGGCACGTGCGCAGCGTGGTGGCTTGCAGGGGCACAGTTGGGCAGGCGGGCACAGGCCGGGTCCCTGTGAGGTTTCCGACGCCGTGCCCGCGCCGGCCTCATGTTTGGGACTACGACGACCACCAGCGCGCGCCGGAGGCGGCCTTGCGCCGCCCCGGGCGGTGTTCCACGCGGTGCACCAGCGAAACAGCAGTGCACCGCCCGCGGCGCTGCGCTCGCCAGGGCACGAGCGGGCCGCGGCGGCGGTGCAGCTGCGAATTGACTTCAAAGCATTCGTCTCTTCCGGGCGAGACTGCCACGGGGGTTCCGGGTCGGGTCGCACCTGGCTGTTCACTCGCCTCGCAGGGCCTTCTCCGCCTTGTGCTCGCTGTAGCCGAAGACCTCCCACGGCTTCATGCCGAGGGTGAAGGCCGGCACCGCCACACCGACGGTCCACACGAAAACCCAGTGCCGCGCACAGAAGTGAGCCATCTTGCCTCTTCACTTGGAACCCGTTCGCCGCACGCAACCAGGCAGCCCCGCGACCTCCACACACTTCTCGGACGAACTCCGCCACGACCTCCACTCGTGCCGCCGGCGCGAGCGCGACGAGGCCCAAGAGCCGCGACGCAGGCGGCGTGTGACACGGTGTCGCAAGTAGTGCCCGCTTGTACCTGGCCGCGTCTGGGGCCGAACCGGGGCATGACAACACCCTCGCGGCGCGGGAGGGAAGCACTTCGTCAGGACATCCGCCTCACCGGCAAAAGCTGTCCGGCATCCCGCGTTGCGCCGCACGAGCACCACCTCATCGCAGGTCGGTTACAGACGCTCTCCCAGGCCTGCAGCCGCAGGACCGCCGCAAGTTCCAGCGCCTGGGCGTGATCGCAGCACACACTGGGAGCCTGCGCGGTGGTTGCCGCATCGCGATCCTGGCTGCACTGCTCGCGCTGGGCTGTCATCCAACGGCCACGCACTAACCCCCATGCGATCGCGTGGGCTGCTCGTTGCAGGCACGAGAGGATGTCCCCCGCCATGAAGGTGGTTGCGTCCATGCGGGCGCCCAGCTGCGTTTCCAGGGCGGCGGCGTGCGACCGCGCGCGGGTTGGTGTCTGTGCCGCTGCTCAGGGCTCCCGGGAGACGCATCCTGAGGCTCGAGCGGGCGCTCAGATCGCCCGCAGGTACGGATCATACGAGCAAAGGCTTGCGCTGAAGGCCCGCGGTGTGTTCGCGCCCCGACCCCTTCACAGGGCGTGCCCACGCCCCCCTCACACTGCAGACAGCTTCTCACCGGCGTCCCTCTCGCGGCGCTCGCCGCGACCCTCCCACACGGTCTGTTCGACGTAGCGCCGGCGCACGCAGCGGACGGCGCCATCACCACGGTCTTCGTCGCGGGCGCGACGGGCAACACCGGCCGCCGCGTCGTCGCGGAGCTGCGCGCCCGCGGCTACAGCGTCATCGCCGGCGTCCGCGACGAGAAGAAGGCCGCGTCGCTCGGACTGGCCGCGGACGGGGTGCGCACCGCCACCGCTCGCACCGCGTGTTCTTGGCATGGCCCACAGCAACAGCAAGGACAGTGAGAGTCAGTCAGTCAGGTTTCACAGTCCGCATTCCGCGGAGAGAGACACCTCGCGCTGCAGGGGGTCAAAGTGGTCCGCGCGGACGTGACGGAGCCCGCGGAGAAGCTGGCGGGCGTGATGCAGGGCGCGCAGGCGGTCATCATCGCCACGGGGTTCCGCCCGCTCGACTCGAAGAACACTGCCGCCAAGGTGGACTTCGAGGGGACCGTGCACGTGCTGGACGCCGCGCGGCAGGTCGGCGCGACCAAGCTCGTGCTCGTGTCCTCCCTGCTCACCAACGCGCGCGAGGTCGGGCAGGAGTCAAACCCGAACTTCAAGTTCCTCAACGCGGGCTTCCTCGGGAAGGTCCTCGACCAGAAACGGTTCGCGGAGCGCGCGATCGCGGACTCCGGGATCGACTACACCATCGTGCGCCCGGGGGGGCTGTCCGGGGAGCCCCCGCTCGGGGCGCTGCGCGTGTGCCCTGAGGACACGCTGTTTGGGCTCGAGGGGGACCCGGGGCGCGAGATCAGCAGGGACACGGTCGCGGCGGTGTGCGTGGAGGCTCTCACGGCGCCGGGCGCGTCGAAGAAGGTCGTGGAGATCGTCGAGGCGGCCGGGAAGACCGCGGTGCCGCGGTCAGACTGGTTCTCCGGCGCGATCTGCCGCGTGTGACTCGAGGTGGCAGCACCTGCCGAGGCGGGTGTTCAATCACTACTTTGCGGGTCCTGCGACTGCACGGCAGTTGCTGCCGCGATCAGGACGATCCCACGCCCGCGTTTCGTTTCTTGCGGTTGTCGATTACTTTACGGCAGCCCCGCGGCGTCGGGGTCGGCCGTACAGCGTGCCGGGGCGCGATGGGCTGGCTCGTGATTGGACAGCAAGCGCAGCTCCGCAATGTCGCTGACGTGAAAGAACCTTCTACCACAAGGGGAGTCTTGGAAGCCCCCCGCTCTCCGACGGCTCGCCACTCAAGGGCGGGAGGGCGCCGGGACGCGCTCACCTGTCTGCCGGGGCGTTGCCGGGGCCCGAAGAGTGGCGCCGTGTGTGCGGGGGGTCGTCTGTCGGGATGGCCACTCCATCGCGCTTCGTAGACATTGGGCGGGCGCTGGAGTGCTTCTCAGCGCCTGCATCGACGCGGGACGCGCCTGGCCCGCGTGACTGGGCATCTTGCGTGCTGCGGGGGTGCGAGGGCGCCGTGCTCGAGGTCGCGCTGGAACAGGCGGGGCGCGCCGTGGTGCAGGACGTCGAGGCGTTCCGTAACGGGGTGACGGAGCTCGCGCCGCCGAATGAGGGGATCGAGAAATGCAACGAGGACAGCTGTGCGGCGTATGCGCAGGTTGGAGCGGCGCCCCACGCACGCTGTTGCGCTCCCGCGCACGTTCCCTGGACTCCGCGCAGCACAGCGACGACAGGCAGCGGCGCCGCGCGCTGGAGGCGTCGCTCGACCCGTTCGATGCGACGCTCGGGTCTGCTTGCATCTGCAGGGGATCGAGAAAGCGTTGAGCACGCTGCACGCCGGCGTGCGGCAGCGCGACGCCCAGCTGGGCCTGCTCGCTCAAGAGATGCTCGCGCGGGAAGACGCGGACCCGCTGGACGTTGCTCCCGCAGCGACCATCGCGCAGCAGTTTCGATACCGCGTCTTCACAGAGCTCACGGTACGACGACGCTCGCGGCACGCGGCGCAAGCGGCCACCTTGTGTTGACGCGCAAGCTCGCGCCCGTGCGCGGGACCGGCCCATGACTGGCTCTTCCTGGCTCCCCTGGCGTCCGTCTCACGGACGCGCACGTGTCCCGGGCGCTGCAGAGGCCGGGCACCATTTCGCTGGGCGCAGTACTGCAGTCCTACCTGCAGGCAAAGCTGCTTCTGTTCGGCCACGCCATGGCGGCGCACGTCCGCGGCCTGGTCGCGACGGACATGGCCGACAGCGACGACGACGACGGCGACGACACCGCATGTGCGCCCTGCCCTCGACCGCGGCCAGCAGCAGTCGTGACTTGATGTTGCGTGTTTGCTGGGGGAGTGGCGATCATCTGATTCAAAGCACTGGCCGCGAGGGCGGGCACGCGCCGCTCACATCAGTCGCCCCTCACGATCTGGACCGCCCCATCGCGCCCCTGCAGCGCTTCCGATTCTGCCGTTCGGGGCACGCGGGGTCCCCGCCGCTTGCGACCTCCCTGACGTGGGCGAGCTGCTGGGCGCTGCGTTCCGCGAGGGGCTCAGCGCCGCCGCTGTGGCTCTGGAGGCGGTCGGAGCATCGGAGGTCCTGCGGGACGCGGCCTCGAGTGCCGTCGCGACGCACCTTGCAGGGGTGTTGGCTGACGAGGGGGGAGTGAGGGGGGAGTTCGGACAGCATGCGCTGGAGCCGCTGCGGCGGTACGCGCGCGCGGTCGTCGTGCCGCTGCTCAACGCCTGTGGCGTGGACGCCTCGAGCCGCGTGCGCGCGGCGGGCACCGGCGATGCTCTGTCGTGGGTGCACATGCACATCTACGAGAGCTTGGGGCGGCTGCGCATGCAGCAGGCGTTCGACCTAGTCGTGGACTTCCCGGACAGCCGCCCCGCGCTGGAGGACCTGGGGGAGTGTTTGCGGGAGACCTCCCTGCACACCCTCCTCGCACAGACGCTCCGGCAGCAGCTCAGCGCGCGCCTGCTCATCCCGGGCGCAGACACGTCGCTCATCATTACCAAGTGGCTCGACGCCGCGCGCGCGATCGCCGTCGCGGACCCCTCCGGCGCCACCGTCGAGGCACTGGGGCACCCTGTGCGTGCCTACCTGCGCACGCAGCGGAAGGACACAGGTGCGCGCACGGTGCCCCGGAGCTGTCCCCGCGCTGCACCGCACCGCGGCGAGCGCCTGACGCCGGCCGCTCGGTGACGCCCTCGCGCTGCTCCGCCCGCGTGCCCGCAGTACGTTGCCTCGTGGGACTGCTCACGGAGGACGGCGAGGAGGGCGGCGGCGCTGCGCTGCAGGGCGCGCTCGCTGCGTCGTCGGCCGCACCTGGAGGCGGCGCCAACGCGGCCGCCGCGGACCGTTCGTCGGGCGCGACGGCCCTCAAGGTGCGCATGCCCGGACCTGGCCCCGCCGACGTCGCAGTGCAGCTGCCCGGCAGGCGCGTTTCGTCTGTTCCCACGTCTTGTTCGCTGTTACTTGACGCAGGAAGCTCGCGAGTGGGAGCCGGCCCCGGCGCACGTGGCACCGGGGCGCTCGGTGTCGCTGGGTGCTGCCGACCTGCTGGCGGGGCTGTACGGCAGCCGGGACCGCCTGGTCGGGCACTACCAGTCCGTGCTGGCGGAGAAGCTCCTGGGGCGGTCGGACTGGGACACGGACCACGAGATTCGCACGGTGGAGCTGTTGAAGCTGCAGTTGGGGGAGGACTCGATGCAGGCGTGCGAGGTGATGCTGAAGGACGTCGCGGACTCGCGGCGCATCGCGGCGCTGGTGGGCGGCCGGCTGGAGGCGGCGGGCGCGGGGCGGTGCGCACCGGGCGAGCCGCGCGTGCAGGCCACGGTCGTGTCAGCGCTGTACTGGCCCGCGCTGGCCGAGGAGGGGATCCAGCTGCCCGGGGACGTGAAGGAGCAGCTGGACGTGTACGCACAGCTGTACCACAAGGTGCGCCCGGGCCGGTGGGGCAGCTGCGTGCGTTGGCACGATGCATGTGTGGGCATGGGGTGCAGTGCGAACCTCCCCCGTGCGCGCGGTGCTCGCAGGTCAAGGCCCCGCGGAAACTTGTGTGGAAGCCGAACCTGGGGCAGGTTCAGCTCGAGGTCACGACGGCGCGCGGCGGCACGACCAGCGTGACGGTGACGCCCCAGCAGGCTGCCATCGTCCTGGCCTTCCGCCGGCAAGCGCGCTGGCCACTCGCGCAGCTCGCCAAGGAGGTCGGCATGGACGAGGAGACGGTGCGTCGCAAGGCGGCGGTGTGGGTGTCGCAGGGGGTCCTCCGGGAGGCCCCTGGGGCGCTGGAGCGCGGCGACGGTGCGGCGCCGGACGACGGCGCGGGCGGCATGGACGTGGACGGCGCGGGCGCGCACGGCGGGGACGCGGGCGGCGGCGCGGTGCAGTCGGAGGAGGAGCGGGCGCGCGCGGAGATGGGGATGTACCAGCAGTACATCGTGGGCATGCTGACCAACTTCGACGGACTCCCCCTCGCGCGCATCCACAACATGCTGGTGCGCCGCGACGCCCGCGTGGCCCTGCGCGCCCCCCGTGTGCGCTGCGCGAGGGCACGTGCACGCGTGCTCGTTGTGCGACCCGGCTGGTGTGTGCTGCCGCGGTGCAGAAAATGTTCGTGATGGACGCGAAGTTCGACAAGTCGGAGGAGCAGCTCGCGGCGTTCCTCGGCGCCCTCGTCTCCGACGGGGTGCTGCGCAAGGAAGGCGACGAGTACCACCTGGCGTAGAGGCTGCGCGACGCTTGCGATGGGTCGTCGGTGTCCAGGGAACTGCGGGCGTCACTGGGACCGGGCGCTGCGGTGTCCGGTGTAATTATCTACCTGATGGTCATGCCCGACAGGCTGTCGGGGCCCGTGCGGTCCGACCCGCCGCACAACGACGTGCCTTCGCAGACCTGTTTGTTTTTTAATTCGCTGACCTACCCTCACCCAGCGCTAGCTGTTAGCTCTTCGCTGACCTACAAACACCCTCACCGCGAGGGCGCTTGAGCGACCGAAATGGTACGGCAGGCGAGACTCACACAGCAGTCATGTCACACACACCTGCACGACGGTGAGACAATGCGGGGATCGTTCAGGAAGCGCACAGCGTGCTGCGTGAGTCTCTGAACGACCCCAGGTGACGACGGGCCTTTGTGCCTCGGTCCAGCAGCACGTCCAGAGTCCAACCGACATGAGTCAGTGTGCCAGTCCCCCCGGGGGTGTGTACCCACGCTGCCACCGCGCCGCCGTAGGGGCACGGCTGCAGCAGGCCTTCACGAACTTCGTGGGATTGTCGGGCTGGGTGGAGTACGCCTCGGAGAGAACATGCGCGGACCATTACTGGCGCATAGGGGCGCGTAGCACTTTCGGTACGGGTCCATATCCCGCCTACCCCATGCGAGGCCGTCGCCCGCATTCCTGGCGTGCCGGTATCCCGGTCAGGCCAGTTGGGCACCGGTCATGCGCGTGGTCGCTACGGTGGGAAACGTTCGGCACAGCGCTTGACCAAGCAGGACAGCACAGTCCGAAGCACGGCGGCGGCGTGCGTGTACGAGCCTTGAGACGCGCGGCGACGTGGCGTTGAGCCTGTCCGTTCACAGAGAGGCGCAGTCACTATATAAGCAGTCGAGTTCCCAGCGGACCTGGCCTCTCGAGGGGGGCGCTGAGGAGCGCGGGAGATGCAGTGTGGCGCCCTTTCAAGGCCGTTACGGCTGCCACGGAGCCGGTGACGAGCACAGCTGTGCAAGCAGGGTCTACGCTAGATCCATAGCCGTGCTGGTGCGCACCCACACAGTGTGCGGCGCAGCATCACGGGCGCGGGTCGTCTGTCGCGCGAGGCGCTCCTGCTTAGTGGGTCGTTGGCTCTTTGCAGGAGGGGGGGCGAGTGTGGGGGGACGCGCTGGCAGCGGAGCGTCATCAGAGCGTGCCAGCGCAAGACTCGCAAAAGGGGGGGGAAGGGAAGGGGGGGAGGGGAGTCGGCGGCGTGAGCAAAGGGTCCTCGTGCTGAGAATGACGTTGCTGTGGTGTAAAAAAGTGCGTTTTGCTGCGGCTTTGCGGAAGCAATGTGGTTCCGGCGGCAATGTCTCCTGCCTCGACATTGAGGCGGTGCAGGCGGGCAACGGGGGAGGTTGCGAAGGTGGAGTGGAGTGCAGCGGAGAGTTCCGAGAATGCTCGTCGGCGTGGCCGTGGCGGCGGCGGAGTGGGTGGGGATCGCACAGCGAGTTGCGCTGGGCAGGCGAAGACAGGGGGTGGGTGGGTGGCGGGGCACCCTGCGGGGTGGGATGGGTTTGGATGGGAGGGCGAGGGGGTGGACCTGCGGGATGGGACGGGATGGGCGAGGGGTGGATCTCGAGCCCAGGGTCAATGCCTTGTGCGGGTACATCGTACCGGGGTGCGTTGCCGTGGGGGGCTGCTGCAGGTTGTCGATGCGGTGCGACACCGCGCTGCGGGAGAGCAACCCGAGACCTAGGCTGAAAAGGGAGGGGGGGGGGTAGACAGGGGGGAGTGTTGCGAGCGGGGCTCCGTATTCGGAGCAGCGTGCGGTGGTGCAGGGGCCCGCGGCTTGGCAATGGCGGTGGCCGCCGCGGGCGGGCGGCGACGTAGGGTGTTGCGAGCAAGATCCGATTCGACTGTTCAGGCTGAGGGTTGGTGGCCTGGCGCGGAGGGGTGCGCTGCTGTGGAACTACGAGGTCGGGACGGCTCCCGCGCCCGGGCGCATCAGCCGCACGATGCGGCGCTTTCTTGGGCGTCGGCGCGGTTCGAGCCGCCGTCGGGCGGTGCCTGGTAGAGCGGGGGTTAGAAAAAAGGAGGCCCCGTCGAGGGAGTGCGCAGCAGTCAGGCAGTGCACTCCGACAGTCCGGGGCTGGGTGACCCGCCACGTGCGGGGGAGGTTGGGGGGAGGCAGCGGTGCGCTCCCCGTGCGTCTCCCGGCCGCCCGTGGTCGAGGGAGGGGGGGAGGGGGGCGCGGCACGTGGGGCGGCTGCGCGGGCCTACGCGGGCACCGCGGCCTGCCCCCTGTCGAGCACCGTGGCGAGGGAGGCCTCCGGGTCCATCATCCAGGGCGAGGAGAGTCCCCACGCGCACTGGTCGACGACCGCCGCCTCCACCCACTTCCACGCCGGCCAAGGGAGGTCCTGCGGGGGCGCCAAGCGCTCCGTGGGGCAGCCCTCGCAGACGCTGTGCACGCTCAGACCCGTAGGCTCGATGACGCCGAACCGCGGCGGGCGCGACGACGACGCCGCGCGCGGCCCGTCGCGGTCCAGGACGATGCAACTGCCACTGAACTCGGACGTTGCCGCCTCCGGGGGGCGCGCATCGGCCGAGACGCGCGTCGAGGAAGAGGCGAGTACGCTCATTTCGCGCAGGCTGGGGCAGCCCGGGGTCACTTCGTCCGTCCTGCAGCGCACACAGCCGAGGATACATGTGGGCAATTTATCTACCCGTTGCACCTTGTCGAGACGCGCGAGCTGGCGGCCGGGCCGCGCCGGCGGCGGAGGCGCATATTTTCATGTGTATCTACCTGACGGTCGTGCTCGACAGGCTGTCGGAGCCCGTGCGGTCCGGCCTGCCGCGTAACGACGTGCCCTTCGCTTCGGGCGACGACCCTCGCGCGGAGATGCCGGGGCGGCGCCAACGCTGGGCGCGGGGTTCGAGTTGCTTTGCTGTCATCCGCGAGAGCGTCCCGCTAGAGCCACGCGTCGTTCGAGGGCGCCGTAGTCCTCCTCGTCGTCCTGGTACGGACACGCTTCCTGCGACGACGGTGACGGCCGTTCAACGCGACGCGTGTGAGCTCCTGCCACGTCAGGCAAACGCCGTGGCGCGGATGCCGCGCGGGCGCGCGCCCCCCGGAGGCGGAAAGGGCGCAATAGTGCACCTAGCACCGCTGCCACGGTTGTCGCGCCGGCGGCCCGCGAACGCATGCAAGCGCCGTGTTCGCGCCACACAGGGCACTGGACACATCATCGCACTCAGCACACCGCGAATGAGGGCGCCTCACCAGGTTTCCGCAGCGTCGGTGAGCCGTCCAGTTCGCGCACTGGTGTGAGAGCTGTTCGAGCGTGGGATCAGCAGGGCATTCCACGTCGTTGGTTGTGGGAACGGGTCTTTGTGGCCGCCCACGCCGCACGCGCGCGCAATGGGCGCGGCGGGCGGCCCCAGCTCCGAGCCCGGGCTGTCCCACCGTGGCCTGAGCTAGGTAGGACGCACTGGACGGGCCGCTGCGCGGGAGCGCGGCGCCGCACGTGTCGCGGGGTCGCGGAGCCGCGCGAAGGGGCGGGGCCCTTGCGGGTGCCTTTCGTCCGTCCTCGCGGGCCCGGAAAGGCGCGTTCGAGCGGCCGTTTGTGCAAGGTGTAACTGCACGGCTCGGGGCGCGTGGGACTCGGGGGGGGGTCGCGCAGCGCCTCCGACGCGGCGGAGGCGATGGATGAGATCGGTGACGTTCCTCGGCGCCCCGTGCGCGGCCGTAAGGCGCCGTAAATGCCCAGTGCGGCCTGGTCCCTGCCACCCACGGCGCCCCCCCCCCCTCTGCGAGAACAGCGCGCCGGGGCCGAGGGGCGGCCTGTGCGGCGCGCCCCGACATTCGGTGCGTCTGTCTGGCGCCTAGCCACTGGTCGGGACGCTTCTGCTCAGTCTGTGCGAGGCGTGGCGCTGGTGATGGAGTGCACGCGGGGCGGGCCAGCAGCCCTGCGGCGGCCTGCGGTCACGCGGGTGCGCGCGGGGCGCGCGCATGTTGCGCCGGCGTGCTCGGCGGGCGCGCGGCGGCCGTGCGTCGGCGCGCGGGCCGGGAACGGGGCATTCCGGGCCGCGGGGGCGCGTCGCGTTGCGGCGAGCTGTGCGTCTACGAGCCGGTGAGTGCCCGCGCGTGTGGCGGGGGCGGCAGCGGGTCGATCGCATCGCTCGCGCTGGCGTCGGGACGTTGCATGCGCGCGGGGCCGGTGCGCGGGGTCCCGGGGCGGTCTGGTGGCACGCACTGAGGAACCTCGAACGGGCTGCGTGTTCGCAGGATCGGGGGCTCGCGATTGGCGGGCGCGGGCGGGCGTCGTCCGTTCATCCGCGCGTCTGCGCGACGCGACGGCCGCAAGCTCATCGTGACGGCGGTGCTCGCGGACGGTGGAGACGGGGCTGCTCTCGACGTCGACTCCGTGCTGCGCGCCAACCTGCCCTCCAACCCCGACCTCCGCGTCGGAACCCTCGCGAACGGATTTCGATACGTCATCCTGCCGAACCCCACGCCGCCGAACCGCTTCGAGGCGCACCTGGAGGTCCATGGAGGCTCTGTAGACGAGGGGGAGGATGAACAGGTGCGCGCTCAGACCGCAGCTCGGCGCCAGGACCCGCCTGTGTCATCTGAGCAGGCCGAACAGCCACGCTGTCGCCGCGCTCGCCGCCGTTGGGGCCCGCAGCGGCGTCGCCTCTCTCTGTGGGACGTCGTCCGCGCTCCCCGGGCGCTCGCGGCACCGCGCGTCCACGCTCGGCGCCCACCGCGCGGCTCACCTCGGTTCCTCGCAGGGCATCGCGCACCTGGTGGAGCACGTGACCTTCCTAGGCAGCAAGAAGCGCGAGAGTCTCCTGGGCACGGGGGCTCGCAGCAACGCGTACACGGACTTCCACCACACGGTGTTCCACGTCCACGCGCCGCTCACCAACGTCAACACGGGCGAGCCCATGCTCCCCCAGGTCCTCGACGCCCTCAACGAGATCGCCTTCGAGCCCGAGTTCAGCCCCCACAGGTGACCACCGCGCCGCGCGCACCCCGCAGCGCGCCCCCGCGCCCGCGCCGCCCGCCCAACGCGCCCCCCGCGCGCACCCGCCCCCACGGCCCGTCGGGTCCTCGCCGCGGGTCCCCGCGCGGGACGCCGCCCTGGTGCCCACGCGGCCCCTGTCCCGGCGTCCCGCCCGCGCAGGATCGAGAAGGAGCGCAAGGCCGTGCTCGCGGAGGCGCAGATGATGAACACGATCGAGTACCGCATCGACTGCCAGCTCCTCAAGTACCTCCACCACGAGAACAACCTCGGGTGCCGGTGCGGCTCCCCACGCCGCGCCCGCCCCGCGCCCGCCCGCGCCCGCCCGCCCGCGCCCCCGGCCGCCCGCGCCCCCGGCCGACCCGCCCGCCCGCCCCGCCCCGCGCAGGTTCCCGATCGGCATGGTGGACCAGGTCAAGCAGTGGCCGATGGAGAAGATCCGCGCGTTTTGGCAGCGGTGGTACTTCCCGGCCAACACGACGCTCTACGTGGTCGGCGACCTCCCCGGCGGCACCGACGAGACCGAGAAGCTCATCCAGCGGTACTTCGGCGCGGTCCCCGTCCGGCTCACCGCCCCGGACGGCGCCGAGCTGGACGTGTCGCCCGAGGTGCTGGCCCTGCCGGAGGGGGGCGCGCCCGCGGGCAACGGCGACGAGCCCGCGCTGCCGCCGCCCGGGTCGGCGCCGCGGTCCCGGCACGACGTGCGCCCGCCCGTGGAGCACGTGTACGGCATGTCGGACTGGCAGGGGCGGCCGGTGCAGGTCATCGAGGGCACGGCGCCCGTGCGGGTGTTCCGGCACCCGCTCCTGCAGCACTTCCAGCTCTCGCTGTTCTGCAAGATGCCCGTGCGCGAGATCAACTCGATGGAGGACCTGCGCTACGCGTTCATCGTGCGCCTCGTGCTGTCGGTGCTGCAGTTCCGCATCAACGGGCGCTACGTGCAGGACGACGCGCCGTTCATCAGCATCGAGATGGACTCCTCGGACGCCGGCCGCGAGGGCTGCTGCGTGAGCACGCTCACCATCACGAGCGAGCCCAAGGACTGGCGCGGCGCGACCTCGGTGGCCATCGAGGAGGTCCGCCGCCTGCAGAAGCACGGCGTCTCGCGCGCCGAGCTCGAGCGCTACCTGTCCGCGCTCCTCCGCGACTCCGCGCACCTCGCCGACCAGGCCCAGTCCGTCCCCTCGGTCGACAACCTGGACTACGTCATGGAGTCGATGGCCCTGGGGCACAAGGTCCTCGACCACGCGCAGAGCCACGCCGCGCTCGAGGCCGTCGCGGGCACCATCGCCGTCGAGCAGGTCAACGCCGTCGCGGCCAGCCTGCTCAGCTACATCAGCCACTACGGCCGCGAGGACGCGCTGCTCGAGGACTTTGCCGCCAACCCCGACGCGTGGCCGGTGGAGCCGACGCGCGCGACCAGCATCGTGGCGTGCATCCCCGCGTACATGGACGCGTCGGGGCACTCGACGGGCGGCGGCCCGCCCGTGCAGCGCGGCGCGTCGATGACGACGATGGAGCACGTGGACGTGGACACGCTGGACGACGTCGAGCCGGTGCAGCCGGACGAGGCCGAGGTGTGGGACGACCCGCCCGAGGGCGCGGTGCGGTTCGAGCTGGAGGCCGGCGAGATCGCGGCGGCGCTGTCGGCGGACCTGGGCGAGATCGACGCGCTGGAGGACGTGGACGTGCCGCAGCACCTGATCGACCCGGCCGAGGTGGACCGCAAGGTGGCGGAGCTGAAGCCGGAGTGGGTGCCGCCGGCGGGGGCGGGCGAGGCGCGGCCGGCGGCGGACCCGGCGACGGGCGTGGTGCAGCGGCGGCTGAGCAACGGCGTGCGCGTCAACTACCGGCGGACGGAGAACGAGCCCGGGGCCGCGGTGCTGCGGCTGGCGGCGCCGGGCGGGCGCAGCCTCGAGGACGGCGCGCTCGCGGGCGCGGGCTTCGGGAGCGTGGGCGTGGGCGTGCGCGCGGCGAGCGAGTCGGGGACGGTGGGGGAGTGGCGGCGCGAGCAGGTGGAGCTGTTCTGCATCTCCAAGCTGATCAACTGCATGCTGGAGACGGACGAGGAGTTCGTGGTGATGGACTTCCACCTCGCGGTCCAGGACGGCGGCCTGCAGAGCGTGTTCGAGCTCATGCACCAGTTCCTGGAGGCGCCGCGGTGGGAGGAGTCGGCGCTGGAGCGGTCGAAGAAGATGTTCGTGTCGCACTACCAGAGCATGGCCAAGAGCCTCGAGCGCGCGACCGCCGACCGCATCATGGACGCCATGATCGGGCCGGACCGGCGCTTCCGGGACCCCACGCCCGAGGACGTCGACGCGCTGCAGCTGGGCAAGGTGGCCGCCATCGTGACCGACATGCTGCGGTCGAACAACCTCGAGGTGAACATCGTGGGCGACTTCGACGAGGAGGAGCTCGAGGGCCTCCTCCTGCGCTTCCTCGGCACGCTCCAGCCCACCGACCAGGTCCCCGCGTGGGTCGAGACCCCCCCGCTGGCCTTCCTCGCGCCGACGCCCGAAACCGGCGCGCAGCGGTGGCACCTCAAGGACTCGGACGAGCGCGCGTGCGCGTACATCGCCGGGCCCGCGCCCGCGCGCTGGGACGTGCCCGCGGAGCTCCGCGGCCGCGGCGCGCTCGACGCCGCGCCGCTCCCGCTCCCGGAGCTGAAGCTCCCGCACGAGCTGATCAACGCGACCGCGGAGGAGGCGGCGGCGGCGGCGGCGGCGCGGCGGCGGCACCCGCTGTACCGCTCGTCGACGCTGATGCTGCTGTCGGAGGTGATCAACGCGCGGCTGTTCACGACGGTGCGCGACTCGCTCGGGCTCACGTATGACGTGTCGTTCGAGATGTCGCTGTTCGACCGGCTGCCGCACGCGTGGTACGTGGTGTCGGTGACCTCGGAGCCCAAGAAGATCGACGCGGCGATGAACGCGTGCGTGCGCGTGCTGCGCGGGGTGCGCAACCAGGCCATCACGCCGCGCGAGCTCGCGCGCGCGCGCCGGACGATCATCGCGCGCCACGAGACGGACCTGAAGGACAACGGGTACTGCCTGGGTCTCCTTACGCACCTCCAGAGCGACGCGGTGCCGCTCAAGACCATCGACTGCCTCAAGGACCTCGTGCCCATCTACGAGGCGTGCACCATCGAGGACGTGTACGACGCCTACAACGCGTTCGACTTCTCCGAGGGCGCAGTCTTCACCTGCATCGGCACCAGCGGCAAGGACGCGCCGCCGCCCCCGCCCGCGGGCGCGGCCGCGGGCGTCGGGCGCGCGGGGCAGGGCGCGATGACGCCCGAGGACAAGCAGGCGGCGCTGCGGGCGATGGAGGAGTTCATGAAGACGGGCGGCTTCATGCAGGCGCTGCAGAAGATGAGGGGCGAGCAGCAGGAGTAGGGCGGAACGCCCGCGCTGCTCGTGCACCTGCCTCGTGAAATTTTGCCCACCGCTGCTCACGCAAGGGGACGGCCCAGGGCCGGCCGGCCACGCTCGGGCCCCCGACTACACACAACAACAACATTGTAACGCAATACGGCCAGGAGGAGGAAGGCGCGCGTGCTGCCCCTGCATGGCCGCAGCCGTGTCGCGCACCACGTACAGCTGGGTCGTGCGGTGCAGGCAGCCCGTCGCGGAACGCGCATGACGGCGTGGGGTTCGCTTTCACTCCAACCAGGCTGGATCATGGTGTGTCGTTGCCGCGCGGCGTGTTGCGCTCGGGCCCGGAACACGCGTCTGGACTGCGTGCGCGCTGCCTCACATCGACGTCGCGCGCCAACTAGCACGCGTCAAACGCGAGCGGGGGTGTGATGGTCAGGTACTGGACTTTGCCGCCATCCTTGGCCTGCCAGGCGACCACGAAGTGCTTGCGGACGGCGTGGATGATGCGCCCCGTACCGGCGTATCGCGTGGGCGGCACGCACTGGTCGGGGTCCGCGACCACCACCGCCAGTTGCGCGTGGTACATGCTTGGGTCTCCAGGGTACGCCAAGTAGTCCGCTCCGTACCGCACGCCCGCGGTTAGGGTGTACCCGCGGTCGTACAGGTCGCAGAACACCTCCAGCCTGCACGCAACGCGCGCGCAGCGCCGGGTCGCCCGTCGAGCCACCGCAGCAGGCGCGGCGACGGGCCAGTGTGGATTACGGAGGGAGGGTGCGGGCCGCACCTTTTTCGGAACTGCTCGGCGCGCTGACCGCCCTCGTAGAGCGGAAAGAGATGCTCCGCCGTCGGCGCGGCGCCAGCAGGCACGAGCGCCGACGTGTGAGGGACAACGAAGCCGCGCCGCAGGGCAGCTGCGTGCTTCATGGCCCACGCCTCGGCCGCCGAGCTCACGCTGGAGTCGGCCGGCGCAGTGGCGCCCGACGCGGCGGCGCGCTGCGGGGTCGCGACGGGCGCCGCGGCCAGCTGCAGCCAGCCCTTGCGCAGCCCCACGATGGCTTCCTCGGGCATCAGTTGCAGCGGGAGCCCGAACACCGAGTTCTGCTGCTTGAGCGCAGCAAGACCTCCTATCATGGTCCCGAGCACGCGGTGCTCGGTGCGGAGCCGCACGGCGTCTGCGACGGCCACGAGAGGTGCCGCAGTTGGGCAGGTTGCGGTCGTCGACGGGTCGGGACCGGCGCGCTGGGGAGCACGCTGCGGGTTTCGGCATGTTCGTGTACTGAGGGCGGTAATGCGCTCACCTGACGCGTCCCAGACGCACGCAGTCCCGGCGTGGACGTGGGCGACTGCTGGCCTCGCCGTCGTGGGGTCGCCGTTCCCTCCCGACATCGTTTCGAACGCGGATATTTCGCTACCTGACTCGCGTGCTAGATGTACGTCGGGTTGCGAGCGACTATGTGTTCAGCGGTGGGATCAGCGCTCGCTGGGCGACCATGGAGGTCAAGTTGTGCTCAATCTGTAATGACGCCTGACGCTGGGGGACACGTGGACGTCCGCTCGACGGGCACGATCACTGCGGTGGCGCACAGGTTCCGCGGCGCGCCGGCGCCCCTGAGACCCGATGTGCGAGACCGAAGCCGGGGTGCTGTGGCGGGGTAGAACAGGGCCCCGGTGGGCCATCTCTCCGCCATTGCCGAGCGATTCGCACGCTCACTCCTATCTGTGCTCGAGACCCCGACCGTGGAAGACGCGAATCATAGCATCGCTGCACGCAGCGGCCCCGTCCGTTGCGAGGAGGAGGGTCTCCATCAGGGACCGGCCGTGCGCACTGCAGGGTCCGCCTGTAGCACACGCAACCCACTCCGCACCTCACCCGCACCGCCTGCTCTCATCAAGCGCACTCCACGCCCCCTCGCCGCCGCGGGGGGCGTCCTCGCCCTCAGCAGTGCAACTAGGCCATGGCAGCACCGCTCGCCGTTGTTGCCATCGGCGCCGCACTGTTTCGAGGCGCGTTTGGGCGGAAAAGCAAGGGCAGTGCGGGCCGGAGGGGGCCCTTCAGCGCGTCAGGCAGCGGGACGATGTCCCCGGCCTCGACCATTGGGAGCGCCACCCCGGCAAGCAGCGTGCGCGGCGACAGCTCGGCCCCGCCGTCCGTGCAGGGCTCGCCTTTGAAGAGCCAATCGAGGCCTCGACGCCCAAAAGCTCGTAAAGGTGCGCGCACACGCCACGCGCGCGGCCCCTCGCGCTGCTTCTTGCACGTAGAGCCTCGGCGGGGGCGCTCGTGCAGGCTGCCTCAAGCGCCGAACACGCGTCGCCCCGGGAACTCTGTGCAGATGAACCGCGGCGACGGCGGCGGGATCCGTGGTTGGCGTGGCTGGCGCTCGCGGGGGCGTCGCTGGCGGTTTCTCTAGCACTGGCCAGACAATCGGCGCTCCATCCCGAGCGCCTGGCATCCGCGACGCCATACATCACGGTGCGCGACGCCACAGCACGTGTGTCGGCTCCTCCGGCGCGCACCGCGCTCCGCCTCGGAAGCCCCGCCTCCTCGCACGCGCCCTCGCACCATTGCGGCAGAATGTACCGCCCACAGCCTCGCCCCTGCCGTGACACCGCCTTCCGCCCCCACCGCAGAGCGTCCTCGAGCACGCGCAAGCCGCTGCGTACGAGACGGCCGCCGTGGTCGCCCGCTGGGCGCCGTCGTCGCTGTGCAGTGCGGCGTCCACAACGTACGATGCGCTGCGCCCGCTGCTGTCCGCGGCGTGGGCTGCGGGCGCCGCGGTGGTGGACCGCGTGGACGGCTGGCTGGCCAAGGGCACGCCCGCGTCGTTCCGTCAGTCGCCGGCGACGCTCTTGTCGGCACTGCTGCTGCTGTACTGGTCGACGGGCCGCGCGCTGGGGGGGCTGCTCGGAGCGCGGCGGAGGCGGCGCGGAAAGCGACGCGGGGACACGCGCGCCAAGGGGAGGCGCCTGGAGTACCGCGTCGTGGTGAGCTCCCGCGCAACGGTTTGCACGGTCCTCATCCCGCTTTGCGCCCCCCCCGCGCACCTGCGCCGGCGCCGCCTTCTCCCCGCGACGAGGCCGCGTCTTCGCGGCGTCCTCCGTGCAGGACCAGTCCCCCGCGCCGCTGCCGGACTTCACGGGGGTGTGGATCAAGGACAACGCTGCGTCGGACAACATGGACGAGTGTTTCCGCGTGGCGCAGCTGAACTTCATCATGCGCAAGGCGGTGGTGCTGCTCAAGGGGATGGAGATCCGGCACACGCGCGACGTGTTCTTCGTGGACGTCCTGAGCGTGTTCCCGTGGTACAAGATCAAGGAGTCGTTCCCCTTCGACGGGGCGGTGCGCCTGCACGCGCGGCGGGACATGCGGCGCGGGAAGACGCGCGGCCGCGTGGCCGTGAACGGCACCACGGTCGCCATCACGATGGAGTGGGACGACCCGCTCGCAGGCACCATGCGGGACGCCTTCTCGATTGGGCCGCAGGGGGAGTTGAGGCTCGACTCGACGCTGGTGGTCGGGTCCAAGGTCGCGCGCTTCCGACAGGTCTACCGGAGGAAGGGCGACAGCTGATGCGCCGGATCCCTCATGTTACATGCGCCGGACCGCTCACACCTCTCACGAGTAGTTCCACGACGCGTCCCAGTCCTCGCCCGCGTCCTCCATCTCCGCACCGTACCGGTAGAAGTCGTCCATCTGCGCCAGGCTCGTGCGCTGCTGCTCCGCGACCGCCAGCCACCGCCCCTCCTGGACTGGTACCACCGCATCATCCTCCTCCCGCCACCGCCCGAACGACGTGTCCTCCCCGCCGTACGGCAGGCACCCGCCGAGCAGCCCGTTCGTCGCCAGACACTCCTCCACCGCCCCCTTGTCCCCCCGCGCGTCCACCAGCACCACGCTGCCTAGCGCAGCCCCATCGGCGACCTCAGACAGTGTGTGCGCGAACGCCGCGCCAACGTCGCCGCTCGCCGCCTCCGCCAGCCCCTGCAAGCACCAAACCGACAGCCTGTCGCCGCGGAACCCCGCAGCCTCCAGCTTCTCGAGCCACGTGTCGTCCGAGGCGCCCAGCTCCACCGCCACGCGGCGCAGCACGCACCCCGGCGCGACGCGTGGGCGCGCGTCGCCCGCGGCCTTGAGGCGGCGCTCGGCGTCGATGTGGCCGTCGAGCGGGCCGACGAGGTAGACGGCGGTGCCACGGGGCAGCGGCAGCCGCAGGGCGCGCGTGTCGTGGGTGTCGCCGACCACGACGAGCTGGTTGAACTCGCGCTCGTCCGCCGGGGATGACTCCTTGGTGACGTACATCAGGAGGAGGTCGTCGATGAAGCGCGTTGCGATCTGCGGCGAGGACGACACGTTGAACAACATGTGCGTGTGTTGCGTATATGCAGACATACGTGTATACACACGCACACGCATGGGAAGGATCGTGGAGGCGGGTTGGGTTGACGGCCGCGGCCCGGGCGGCGTGCACACGCGCGGAGGTCGTGCGGACTCACTTCGTCATGCGGGGCATAGTCCTCCGCGGAGGACGCCTCCCGGGCCGCGTCGATGTGCTCGCTGGTGGTCAGGTACTTCGACGCGTGGTCCGCGAACAGAGGCGCCTGCGGAGCCGCAGGTGGGAGTGGGCGCGGATGTTGGCGGATGGTGGCTCTATCGCGGGGGTGGAAGCGAGCAAACACGGGTCGTGCCGGCAACGCGCCGCCGCGTTTCGGCTGCGTGAGTGCCATTCAACGAACGAACAGCACGCCGCGCCCGCGTTTCGCCTCACCTCACGCTCTGCCTCGACAGCACGACGCGCCGCGAGACGCAGGAGGCCCTCGGGCGCCTTCGCAGACGAACCAGCGGCGCTGACTGCCTCCGTCTGCTCGATGCCCGCCGTGAAGTCGACCTCAGGTGGCTGTAGAGGCACGTGCTCTGCCTCGCTAGCCCGCACAGCCGCCCCGCGGCGGCAGCTCAGCTGCAGGCCACGCACCAGTCCGCGCGACGCCCTCCCAGTCCGGCCCGGGACGCGCGTGCACCTGGACAGACCCGGGCTGGACGATAACGGTCAGCGTTTCCAGCTTGGCAACTCGCGAAGGGATTGAGCGTCGAGGTGTCACTTTTCTCGCGCTCGGGAGCTCCGTTGGGCACAGGGCGTGCCCGCGGCGCCATGGGCGCCCTCACCCGCCGTGGTGGTGCCTGGTCGCCCGCTGCTGGGAAATGTGCCCGCATGCTGACATGCGCGGAGTTGCGGCGCACGCAGGCATGGTGCCGCCCCTCGCCTCCTACGCTCCGGAACCAACCACCCGACGCAGCTCCGCCCGGGATGCCTGGGGATGCACGTTGCCCGTGGCCCACACTGCCGAGCCCCTCGGAAGTGTTGGCGAGGGCTCCGACGCCCGCGCAAGCAACACCAGCGGCGGGAAGCGCTGTCAGACTACCCAGCTGACTGCGTCCGCCCTGACGCAGGCCCCGGGCCCTTCCCGTGCGGCGTTCCGACCCTGCCTGCATGCTCGCGGCGCTCCCTGCTGCCGCCGCCGCCAGCACTGTGTCAACACACGATAAGCGACAGAGTCTTACAATGCACAGTACGGCGCAGCGCCGCACGCCGGGTCGCCGCGCGCGCGCCTCAGCGGTCGATCTCTCCGAACACGACGTCCTGCGTCCCGATGATCGCGACCACGTCCGCGAGGAGGTGCCCCTTGCTCATCATGTCGAGGCTCTGCAGGTGCACGAAGCCCGGCGCGCGGATCTTGCACCGGTAGGGGCGCGAGGACCCGTCGGAGACGAAGTAGATCCCGAACTCGCCCTTGGGGGCCTCGACGGCGCGGTAGACCTCCCCGGGGGGCACCTGGAAGCCCTCGGTGGCCAGCTTGAAGTGGTGGATGAGCGCCTCCATCGACGTGCGCGTGTCGCGGCGCGAGGGCATCGAGATCTTCTTGTCGTCGATGCGCACGGGCCCCTCGGGCATCTCGTTGAGGCACTGCCAGATGATGCGCAGCGACTGCCGCATCTCCTCCGTGCGGCACAGGTAGCGGTCGTAGCAGTCGCCGTTGTACCCCACGGGCACGTCGAACTCCATCCGGTCGTACACCTCGTACGGCTGCGTGCGGCGGAGGTCCCACGGCACGCCGGACCCGCGCAGCATGGCCCCCGAGAAGCCCCACGCCAGCGCGTCGTCCGCGGACACCACGCCGATGCCGACGGTGCGCTGCCGCCAGATGCGGTTGTCCGTGAGCATCTCCTCCATGTCGTCGATCCGCGACGCGAACTGCGACGCCCACCTGTAGATGTCCTCGCACAGGCCAATGGGCAGGTCCTGCGCGACGCCGCCCGGACGCACGTACGCCGCGTGCATGCGCGCGCCCGACACGCGCTCGTAGAACTCGAACAGCTTCTCGCGCTCCTCGAACGCCCAGAGGAAGGGCGTGAACGCGCCCACGTCCATGGCGTGGCACGTCAGCGCTAGCAGGTGGTTCATCACGCGCGTGAGCTCCGAGTACAGCACGCGGATGTACTGCGCGCGGATGGGCACCTCGACGCCCAGGAGGCGCTCCGTCGCCAGCGAGTAGGCGTGCTCGTTGCACATCATGGAGCAGTAGTCCAGCCGGTCGAGGTACGGCAGGCCCTGGAGGTACGTCTTGTACTCCATCAGCTTCTCCGTCCCGCGGTGCAGCAGCCCGATGTGCGGGTCCGCGCGCTCGATCTTCTCGCCCTGGACGACGGGGGGGGGCGCACAGGGGCCAGGTTTGCGGGGCCGGGGGTCCCGCGCGTTGGAGGGGGGACGGGGGGTTCGGGGCGGGGGCGTGTGGAGAGGGGAGGCGCTCGCGGGGGGCGGGGGAGGCCTGCGCGCGTGCTGCGGGGTGCGGGCGGAGGGCGTGAGTGTGAGTGCGGGCGCACACCTGCATCTCGAGGACGAGGCGCAGCACGCCGTGCGCCGCCGGGTGCTGCGGTCCGAAGTTCAGCGTGAAGTTCTTCATCTCCTTGGGCACCTGCAATGGAGCGGCGGCCGCGCGAGGTCTCGTCCGGGCACGTCGGGGAGAGCAAGCAGCGCAATGCCGTCCGCACAGGTCGATCCCGCGGGATGCGCGACCAGGGAACGGCGTCGCATCGCTCCGTGGGGCGGAACGGCGCGGTTCGCGGCCGCCGCAGCCCGCGAGAGCGAGCGCAACCACGCGGGCAGCAACGGCTTGGTAGCCAGCGTGATGACCAGGCGTGCTCGAACGGCTGGCGACGCGCGCAGGACGCCCGAGACGCGGCGCTGGCGGGCTCAGGCGCGTTCTGGCGATCTCCTGGCCCACGTCTGCGCGTGGGTTGCCGCTCTTTCGGGCCGTGCCGGGCGTGTCGCGCAACAGGGGCTGCGCACCTCAACGGGCGCGTCGCGCGCCATGGCGGCGTGTGGGGAAGTGTGGATGCCCCTGCCGTCCGGAGAAGACACCGCTCCGCCGACCTGCGCGGTTGCCCCGGGCGCGGCCGTGCTCAGGCCGCGCAGGGCCTCGGCACTGCTGCCAGTTGCACACCCACCAGCGTTCGGCACGAGCCCCTGCAGCGCCGAGAGGCCTTGGCGCCGGGCGGCGCGCAGACCGCCCAGGAGGCCCGTCATGGCTGCTCCGTGCGGCCCGAGAAGCTCACGCCGAGGCGCTGCAAGCGAGCGACCTACGAAACCCGGACAGCGGATCCTGGCCGCGTGATTCGCGGATTCGATCCGCCCGTTGCGAAGCAAGTGCGCCTTGCATTCGACGCGATCGCCCCAAACCGCCGCGCGGGGCCCTGCCGCGCCGCGTCGGGAGGCCGTGAGGCCCCACACCCCCGCGCCACGCACGGGCTCGTGTGTGCCGCAACATCGGTCCGCGCCGGCGAGGCACGTCCGTATTAAATCTGTCAGCGTGCCGGACGCGACGCGGTGCGACCAAGCAGCCCCCTGTGCGAACTCTCCATCCCCTCGCACACTAGGCCGACGTCGCTGCGATGCACCTGCTAGCGGGGCGGACCCCGGCAGCCCGCGCGCCTGCGGTGGGATCCGTCCAGTCGGGGGCCATCGCGCAGCCGCGCGTGCTGGCCCGGCCCGCCCGAGCAGGCCGGCCACGCACGGCTGCCCCCCGCCGCGGCGCTGCCCTGCGCGTCCGGGCGGCCACGGACTACTACGAGACGCTCGGGGTGTCGCGGGACGCCACGCAGAAGCAAATCAAGACCGCCTACCGCCAGAAGGCGCGCAAGTTCCACCCCGACGTCAACAAGGAGCCCGGAGCGGAGGACAAGTTCAAGGAGATCAGCAACGCGTACGAGGTGCTCTCCGACGACCAGAAGCGGCAGATTTACGACAGGTGGGCAGCTCGCACCGCGCGCCGCGCATCGTGCGCGCAGCACCGCGACGCCACGCCCCGCACGCGGCGGGCGCCGCGCAGGCTGGCCTGCCGCACGGAGCACAGGGGTACTAGCTGCGCCCACGGCCGGCGCCCGCGCGTGATGCGGCGCGGGGCGGCCGCATCCGCGGGCCCCAGGGCCCGAGCGTGCGGCCAGCTGCGTGGGCCGCCCGCTGAGCGCGCCGCCCGCGCGTGCAGCGGCGTCAGAGGCTGCACCGCCCATGGCGGCTCCGGATGGCCCACTGCCCGCACCACCGCCGGGGGCCGCCGGGGCCGCGGACCGCGCACCGCGGCCCGCGTGCGTGCAGCCCGCAGCGAATGTGCATCGTGCGGCCGCGTGTTTCGCGGACCTGCGATGCGCTGACGCCGCAGCGGACGTGCCTGCTCTCGTGGTCGCGCCTCCACCCGCACCGTGCGCGCGCCCGTAGGCGCGACCGGGGGGTGCCGCACGCGGCCGTGCGCAGCTCCATGCGTCGCGAGGGCCTCGCGAGGCGCTCGTCTGACTCCGTGGGTCGCGTGTGTGTCTCCGTGGCGCAGGTTTGGAGAGGCTGGGCTCAAGGGCGGTGGGTTCGGCGGTGCGGGGGGCGCGTACGGCGGCGATGGCGGGTTCAGCGATCCGTTCGATATCTTCAACTCCTTCTTCGGCGGCATGGGCGGCATGGGGGGCTTCGGAGGCTCGGCAGGTGCGCCCCATAGACCCCAAGGCTAGCAGCGACGGCCTCCCGCCGGCCCCCTCGCACGCCCGGCGCGCCCCGCGCCGCAGCCGCCACGACCGCCCCTCCCCGCACCGACCGTATCCGCGCCGGACGACCGCTCTCCGCCGCCCCCGGCCTCCCGAGTGCGCCTCCTGCCTGGCTACCCCGCCGCGGCTCCACGCCCCCACCACACCACGCCGCCGCGTGGCCCGCCGCGCTGCAGGGATGCGCAACCGGCCGGTGCCGGGCGAGGACGAGCGGGCGGACCTGTCGCTCGACTTTTTGGAAGCGGTGTTTGGGTGCCAGAAGGAGGTGTCGATTTCGCACTTGATCACGTGCGACACGTGCACGGGCAGCGGCGTGAAGGCGGGCACCTCCCCGACGACGTGCGGCACGTGCGGCGGCTCCGGGCAGGTCGTCAGTGCGGCCCGGACGCCCCTGGGGGTGTTCCAGCAGGTCACGTCGTGCCCGGACTGCGGCGGCACGGGCCAGCGGTCGACGCCGTGCTCGTCCTGCGCGGGCCAGGGCCGCGTCCGCGAGAACAAGACCATCAACCTCCGCGTGCCCGCGGGCGTCGACAGCGGCTCGCGGCTGCGCGTGCGCGGCGAGGGCAACGCCGGCCGCCGCGGCGGCGAGAACGGCAACCTCTTCGTCTTCATCAGCGTGCGCGACGACCCGGACCTGCGCCGCGACGGCCAGGACATCCGCTCCGCGATCGAGGTGCCCTACGCGGCGGCCATCCTGGGGACCACGGTCAGCGTGCGCACCGTGGATGGCAGCGTCGACCTGCGCGTGCCCGCGGGGACGCAGCCCGGCACGACGCTCCTCATGAAGGGCCGCGGCGTCCCGGGCCTCGGCACCAGCGTGCGCGGCGACCACATGGTCAAGGTCAAGGTGACCATCCCCACCAAGCTCAGCTCCGAGGAGAAGCGCCTCGTGGAGAAGCTGCAGGAGCTGCAGGAGGCCAAGGCGCAGGAGAAGAAGGGCTTCCCGTTCTTCGGCGGCAAGAAGGACTGAGTGCGCGACGGACGGACCGGCGGGGAGCGCGCCGCGGGGACGTGAGTGGGGCTGGACCGGGCGTAGGCTGCCTGGTCGCGGCCCCCGGTGCCGGCCGCGAGCCAGGCATCGAGTTGTTATCACGGCACGCACCTCGAGAGGCATCATCACCGTCAGTGTTGCACAGGCTTGCAGGGACAGCGTGAGCGCGCTGCAGCTGCGGCGCTGCGGTGGCCGTGACGGCGATGGCTCACACACTCGATGCGGCTTCTCGTCGCCGTGCCCGCTCACCGCGGGACCCGCCCAGCCAGGGGGGGTGTGTATGTGCCCACCGTGTGTCGCAGGGCACTACCAGTCGTCGAATCGCGCGAGTGAGTTGTGTGCTTCTTGCAGCTCCTTGCCTGCCTTCTTCCGCCGGTAGAAGATCGGGCAGTCGCGGTTCGAGCACAGCACGTCCTGGTGCAGCGACCCCTGACAGCGCTGACACTGGGTCCACAGGCGGTTGTACTGGTCCTCCAGCGCGGCGGCCTTTGTCAGCAGGCCCGTGTACACGTCCGCCTGCTTCGGCTCGCAGTGTCTGCGGTGGGCGGGACGGAACGGACGCGCGTCGTACGCCCGGGCGACACAAGAGAGGACGCAAGGCAGGAAGCGCCGATGACATGTGCTGCGTGCGAGGGTGCCGGGCTCAGCGCGGCGGGGCGCTCGTTCGCTTACTTGCAGAGGGTTTTGCGGCCCTTTTCGAGCGGTGCGCGGCACGACAGGCACGTGGCGACCTTCTTGGTGAACATCATGATGCCTCCCGCGCGGGCGCTGGGCGTGGCGACGCTGATGCTGCGCGTGTGCGCGCCCGTGAGGAGGTCGCGCGCGTTCTTGAGGATCGGTTCGAAGATGCGCAGGAGCGGCTTCTCGAGGTGGTGGTCGAGGTAGTGCTGTGCGTCGATGGGGATGTTGTTGTCGAGGGCGTACACGGGGTCCTCCGCCTTCTGGTACGTCTTCGTGTCCTTCGACGCCTTGATGATCACGTACGGCACGCGGTCGCCCACCCCGGGCGCCGTCACGGGGTCGCGCAGGCGCATCTTCTTCGCCAGCTCCACGTGGGCCGCCTTCATGTCGTACGCCTCCACATCCTTCGTCAGGGACTGCGCGGGGCGGACGCGGCGCGATGCACGGGTGCGTGGGGCCGTGCGGGGCGCTGGGCGCTGCGAGGCGGCGCGGGTGGGGGTGTGTCTGCGCACCTTGGAGACGACGAGCCACGAGAGGTCGACGCGGTCCATGAGGAGGTCCGAGATGGTCTTCTTGACGTAGTCGACGGCGCCCTTGACGTCCCGCTCCATGAGGATCTTCTCCAGGCTGGTCTTGACCACGTTGCGCACCAGCAGGCAGTTGTCGCGGCGCACCGTCTCAATGCCCTTGGCGTCCATCTTGTCCCACTTCTCCGGCTTGGTCCAGTACAGCCCCGCGTACCGCTTCTTGTTGATCAGGAGGTAGGGGAAGTACACCTTCTCGAACTCCAGCCGCACCGGCGGCGGGAAGAGCTCCTTGGTGATGAAGTCCGCGGCCTCCGCGCCCAGCCGCATGGCCTCCGCGACGGCGCCGTCGCCGGACCCGGTCTTGAAGTTGACCATCACCGAGTCCGTGTCGCCGTAGATCACCACGGCGTCGTTCGCGTACCCGTTCTTGCGCGTGTAGTGCGCCTCCACCTTGCCGCGCGTCATCTCGATCATCTCGCGCCCGAACGACGTCACCGACTTGGAGATCTCGAGACACGGCATCTTCCCCACCGTCGCGCCCGTGAACCCGTACACCGAGTTGGCCGACACCTTGAGCGCCAGCTGCCGCCCGTCCAGCACCGCGCGCTTGAACTCGTCCGTCTCCTTCTTCAGGTCCGCCTTCGCCCGCTTCCGCGCGCCCAGGAGCTCCTCCAGGATCTCCGGGAGCACGCCGGGCGCCACGCCGCGCTTCACGAACACGTCGCCGCTCGGCGTGCGCGTGACCTGGTGCGGCTCGTACTGCGCCACGTGGTTCGGGGGCACCAGCGTCGAGTAGCACAGGTTGTGCGCCATCATGATCGACGGGTACAGCGACGCGAAGTCCAGCGTCGCGATCGGCTCCTCGTAGAAGCCCTGCTTCGCGTCCAGCACCGTCGCGCCCTCGTAGCTCACGCCGTCGCCCTGCGCCGTCCGCTGGATGTTCGGGACGAGCAGGTTCTTGCTGCGGCACTTGCGCAGGATCTGGCAGAACACCTTGATCGACTGCCCGCGCGTGAGGAGGTAGCTCAGCGGCACGCCCGTCACGCGCGCCATCTCGGCCATGTTGAACATGTACATCAGCTTGTCGAACAGCCGCTGCGGGAGGTACGCGTCCTTCAGGCAGTACACCGCGAGGCGCCGCCGCGTGTCGTCGTTCCCGTTCTGCAGGTCCGTGATGCACGAGTGGTGCACGTCCTCCTTCTGCTCGCCCAGGAAGTGCGCCGACACGTTGTTCAGCGAGTACGACGTGAGCTTGTGGTCGCGCGTGACGGCCATGAGCATGTCGAACTGCACGCGCCCCTCGATCGTGATCTCCTTGTACCCGTGCGTGCCGTACGCCTTGCTCGAGAACTGCGCGTCGCGCATCTTGAGCTTCTGCGCGCGCACGCGGCCCCAGTGCATGAACCCGGGGAGCTTCAGCGTCTCCGCGCGCTTCACGAGGTACGGCAGGTCGAAGTTGCAGATGTTGTACCCGATGATGATGTCCGGGTCCGACTTGACCAGCAGGTCGCGCCACCGCATCAGCAGGTCCTGCTCCCGGTCGAACGACATCACCTGCGCGCCCACGATCGCCGAGCACCCGCCCAGCGTCAGGATGTTGCGCACCACCGTGCCCTGCCCCTGCACCGTCACCATCGACGCGATCTGGATCACCGGGTCCTTCTCCGCCTCGGGGAAGTGCCCCTTGCGCCCCGCACACTCAATGTCCACCGACAGGATGCGCAGCGGCGCGATGTCCGACTTCTCCGAGATCGGGTGCGACACCAGGTCCTCCCAGAAGATGTGCCCCTCGATCTGCGCGCGCAGCGGACGCAGTGCACGGAGGGAGGGTGACGCGACATGCAGCAACGCGCGCCGCCCAAGGGCGGGCCGGCGGGCGGGCGGAGTCCGGCGCCGCCGAGCGGAGCGGGCCTGGACGCGCACCTGGCAGGTCGTGGTGCGCGTCGCGGGGTCGGCGACCAGCTCGTACTTGCCCGCGGGCGCGGTCACCCAGTTGCACCCCGGGACGTCGGCGTCGATCATGAAGCGCAGCGCGAAGAGGACGTTCGACTCGTACGTGACCACGGGCCGCGCGCTGCCGTTCGGGAGCGTGACGTTGCCGCGCTCCAGCAGCGTGCGCAGCGGCGTCACCAGCGTGGGGATGGCCACCGTCACGCGCAGGAAGTTCACGTGCGGGCCCGGGCGGTGGTACCACACCGACTGCTTCCGCTGGATCTCCACGCGCAGCACGAACTTGTCCAGGCCGAACTTGGACTGCGACTGCGCCATCACTGCAAGGCAACACCCGCGGGGCACCGCAGGGGGTCGTTGCCGCGGCGGTGCGGTGCGCGCGGGCGGGCGGGGCAGCTTCGGCGCTGGCAGCGCGGAGCGGCCGGGCGTTCTCGCGCGCCGCGTCGCCGCGAGCAGAGCGCCGCGGGAGGTTGTGCCTGGGGTTGGGCCTCACTCGTGTTCATGGTGTTCCTGAAGGTCTCGCACTCGTCCGGGCCGAAGCCCGGGTACGGGGCCTCGACGTAGAAGTACGGCTCGAAGCCGTGGACGTAGAGGCACACGGAGTTGCCCGTGGCGTTGACGCCGAACATGCGGATGGAGGCCACGCTGTTCGGCGCGTCGGGCCGCGTCATGCCCCTCCGCGGCTTGCCCAGGATGTAGTCGATCTCGATCTGCTGGAATTCTGCGGCGGCCGGCGGGGGTGGAAGTGCAGTTGGAGCCGCGTTCGCGGCGCAGCGCGCATGTCATGAGGGGCGAGCCTGGTAGGTAGACGGGGCCGCTGCTCCGCGGCCGCGGCCCCGCCCGAGGGCACATGCGGGACGAAACCGGCATCACGTGGTCGCATGCTGCTGTGTTGGTCGCGTTCGGAAGAAAATGTCGCGCCGTGCACCGCGTTCGCGGCTTGGCGCCAAAGCGTGCAGGCTCCCACCGCCGCGCCTGCGTATCTGGTGCCATGCTGCGCGAGTGCGAGTGCGCCGCTCCTCCAGCGAAAGCATGTACAACGCGCTCGCGGTCCCGCGGGTCACGTACGGACGGCGTCCTTCGCGGGGTCGATCGAGGGAGGCTCTGGGCGGGGCCAGTTCTTCCCGTCCTGGACCTCGCTCAGATCGATGGCGTCGTCCTCCTCGAACAGCCCGATATCTTCCTGGTCGGCCTCGATGAGGTGGTCGAAGTCCTCGTCGTCGGAACCGGCGTTCGCTGCCGCCCGCTTCTGGGGCGGCCCTCCGGAGGCCGAACGCGGGCGCTTGTTCATCGCGAACGCTCGCAATCGAGCCTCGGCTCGATCCTACCACTATGAGCTACGCGCCCGCGCCGCTCTCGTGATGCGGCCGGCCGTGAAACCGTCCCTGTTCTGAATTCGCTGAATTTGCCACCAGCAGACGCGGTAAGAGGGCTGTGGGACGCCCCTCCGCAACTCGCGCGTCCTGTCGCGAGTGCCACGTACTTCTCGAGCGCGCAACTGCCCCCGGAGGCCTCCCACGCGGAGCCACGAGGCGCCGCGGGACGTCTGACGTGGGTCTGGTGGGGTGTTTGGCGCGAGGCTGCCGACACGGCAACGCAGGTCTCCGGAGCTGCTCCGAGCAACGCGACGGCATGCACACATACTGCGCCAGGCTTGGACCCTGCACGGGGGCCTCTTCGCCCCCACCCATGTACGGCGGGCGCTGGGTTGTACACAAAGTAATTGATCACCCGCGCACGAAACGAAATGCTGGATTCACAGTGACTCGCGTGACTAGGAGTTGGGGCCAGCGGCCACGGTACCACAGACATTCACCACGACGTGGCAGAATCGGTACGTCCGCCCGGCGTGCACTTGGCCGAGCAACGGGGAGCTGGCCGACCCCGGTGCCTGTTCGCGAGTTGAAGCCCCGAATTCAGCTGCCTCAATGTTGCTCGTCGGGCCTGTCATCACTCACCTTCCCACCGCCCCGGAGGAGCGGCAACGGTTGCACTGCACTGCTGTGTGGTAACTAACCGCGTGCGCAGCGGACTCTCGCCTGGCTCGCACGCCGATTTGCTTCGAGATACGACAGGAGCTCGCAGTGGGGGCTGGGTCGGCGGGAGCAACGAGCGGGGCGTCAGCGGGGCCCTCTCCCCCTGCAGTGCAACTGGCAGCACAGAACACCCCTCCCGTGCGTCTCGGCGGCGATTGCAGGTCGTCGTGTACCTGCGCGACGGCACACCTGCTCTTCGACGATCACGGTCGGCGCGACACGCGCGAGATCGGCTCTGCGGTGCGTCGTGACACGACGTGTGTGCAACGGTTTCGCTGGCCGAACCGAAGGGGCGCCGCGCGCGCTGCGAGTCGCCGCACACTTGCACGCTGCACGATCGGGATAGTTCGCCATGGCCGAGAGCAGCGGCGGCGGCGCGGCGGAGACGGAGGAACTGTCGTTTGTAGCCGAGCAGATACTTTCAGAGGTCACAACGTCAGAGGAATGGACCAGGGGGCTGTCTGAGCAGCCTGAGCTGAAGAACAAAGTCAAAGCTGCCCTGGAGGTGCGCCTTGCACCTGCGCGACCGGACCGGTGGAGCCTCCTCCCGGTTTTCTCTGGCTTGGCGGGCTTCCCGTGAGGGCGCACGTGGTCGTGGCAACGTCGCCCGGTCGCTCACACGACCAACAGGGTTCGAGACCTGCCAGTTTTCGTGCTCGTTCGCGGGCGGGGACCGTCGCGCACCGCCAGGCCGGGAGCACCACTTTGGCAAGCTCATGCCTGCGAGCCGGGAGCGCAGGGGCTGCGGCTGGGCTGAGCATCTGCCTCGGCGGCCCTCACTCATCGACGCACGTGCCCCGTTCGCCCGCAACCCGCCCACGCCCTCGCACGCCGCGCTGGATCGATCCAACTGCAGCTCCCGCAATTTCGCAGGCTCTCGCCGAGCGCGTGGCCAAGTCGAGCCACGGCGTGGCCATGAGGATCGCCCAGGAGCACCTCGGCGCCATCGAGCAGCGCATGTCCGACCTGATCAAGATCGGTGCGTCCCCCGCCCTCCCGCCCTGGCAGCATGCCTCTCACCGTCCTGCCAGCAAGCGGCCTCACTACACGCCAAGCCTGCCGCACGCCGCCCTCCACAGACCAAGAGAAGGACGGCGACCTCCGCGAGGCCCTCGAGACGGCAAGGGACGCCCTGCGCGAGCGCAAGGCCGCCGACGAGCGCCGCGCCGCCGAGGCCGCGCGCGTCGCCGAGCTGCAGGCGACCGTCGAGGCACAGGCGCAGCAGCTCGAGCGCCTGCGCGGCGCCGCGGAGCTCGCGAGCGAGTCCACGACCGCGGTGGAGCGCATGCTGGACCGCCTGAAGGAGACGGAGGTGTTGCAGGGGCAGTACCGGGACGCCATGGACAAGTCCGGGAAGAAGATCGACGTCCTGACGCAGCTGACCGACGCGCAGCGGCAGCGCATCGCCGAGCTCGAGCGCGCCCTCCGCGGAGGCGCCGAGCCCGCGGCCGGCGGGGGCGCGGGCGGCAGCAGCAACGCCGTGCCCGCGGGCGCCGACGAGCGCCTCCAGGACGCCCTCCGGAAGCTCGAGATGGTCGAGCGCGAGCGCGACCTGCTGCTGGAGGCCAAGCGGCGGCAGGCCACGGAGGAGCAGGAGGGTCCGCGCGAGGACGCGCACGGCGAGCCCCTGCCGCCGCGCGGGATGGCCGCGGTGGAGATCAACCGCGAGACGCTCGAGGCGCAGAAGACCCTGCGGAAGCCCGCGCCCCCGAGCGACGGCGCGCCGTCCGACGCCGCGACGATGGGTTCGAAGTGGCCCACGCGGGGGGGTCCTGCACGGGCCACGGGGGGCACTGCCGACGACGACGAGGACGACGACGGCGGCGACCAAGACGACGACGACGACGGGAGCAGTGGGGGCGGCGGCGGCTCGCGCGACGAGGGCCACGACGACGACGCGCTGGACCGTCACGCGCTGGCAGAGGCGTTGGTCACGCTCAAGGGCCTGGGGTTCACGGACGCGCAGATTGAGGCGCTGGCGGAGGAGGTGACGGCGGAGCAGGCGCGCGACCTCGTCGCGATGACGGCGAAGCTGCGGGAGGTGCAGCGCGAGCACGACGAGCTGCGCGCCATCGCGGAGCAGCGGGCGCAGCTGGCGGTGATCGCGGAGGCGGAGGGGGAGGGCGGCGGCGGGGAGGGCGCAGGCCCGACGCGCGAGGCGGTGCGGCGGCGCGTGGCCGCGTTCCTGCGCGGTCCGCACGGCGCCCAGATCATGCGCGACGCGGGTCTGGGCGCCGACCAGGTGGACGCGTTTGTGTCGTTCCTGGAGCAGATGGGGGGCCTCGACGAGCTGCTGCAGGCGGCGGTGCGCGCGGGCGCGATGGAGCAGGGCGGCGCCATCGAGGTGCAGCAGGACAGCAGCAGCAGCAGCAGCGACGAGGACGGTCAGGACGAGGACGGTGACGGGGTCGACGGCGGCAGGGAGGAGCGTGCTGCTGCTGGTGCTAGTGCGCCGCCGTCGCCTCCGCGGCGCGTGCGCGACGAGGAGGAGGAGGAGGAGGAGGAGGAGGACGCAGGCGGCGAGGAGGGGGAGGAGGACGCGATGCCAGCGGCGGCGCGGGAGCGTCTGCGCGCGATGGAGGAGCAGCAGGCGCAGCTGCTGGAGGTGCTGCAGGCGGTGATGGCGCTGTCGAAGGAGCAGGCGAAGCAGGTGTCGGACTACGAGGCACGCATCAACGACGTGGTCAGCGAGATGGGCCGCGTGGGCGAGGAGCGGCAGCGCTGGCGCGAGACGCAGGCGCGCAACGTGCAGCTCGAGGCGGAGAACGCGCGGCTGCGTCGCGGGGCGCCCGCAGCACCCGGAGAGCCCTCGGGCGGCCAGGGCGACGCGACTCTGCAGCGCGAAAACGACGCGCTCAAGGGGGAGCTTGGCAAGGCGAAGGACGCCCTGCGCACCATTCGCGGCGAGATGGAGACGACGATCGCGTCGATGATGCAGGAGGTGCGGGGGCTGACGGAGCAGCAGGAGCGGCAGGCGGAGATGCATAAGCGGGCGCTCGCGGACATGGCGCGCGCGTACAAGTCCGAGGTGGACGCCATCCGGACGCAGGTGACTGCCCGGTCGATGTGCCAGCGGGGACGAAGAGCATGGGTGCGGTGCCGGCAGTCTCGCATCGAAGGGTGCCTGACAACGCTTTCTCACGCACACATGTGTGCCGATCGTCCTTCCGCTGCAGGTTCTGCGCGCAGCGGCCGCGGAGGGCGCGGGTACCGGGTCGAGCGAGGCGGACGCGCGCGCGATCGCGGGCCTCCGCCGCCAGCTGGACGACCTGGCCGGGTGGAAGGAGCAGGCGGTCGGCGTGGTGCGGGTGCTGCGCGACCAGGTGCGGCGCGAGGCGTCGGGGGCGCAGGAGCTGCGGCAGAAGCTCGACACGGCCACGGACTCGAACGGGCGCCTGCGGGACGAGCTGGGCGCGGTGGCTGAGCGCCTGGGCGCCGTGACGCGTGAGCGGGACGAGCTGGAGGACTTGCTGCTGGGGTCCCCGGGGGGGTCCTCGGACGGGGGCGACGGAGTGGACCGGACGGACAGGGACGGCAAGCCGGTGCGCCCCTCGAGCGCTGCGTGCCAGCGCATGCAACAAGCGCGCTGCGTGGGACAGCGTGCTGCTACCCGCCGCGCATTCCCTCTCCAGCGAAGCGGGGAAGCGGCCGCTTCACGTGCTCCGTGGGGGCGGTGCTCCCCGTGCGTCTGTTGCGCGAAACCCGCGCGTTGGTCCCCCGTGCTCGTGCAGCGGTGGCAGGGCTTGGAAAGCAGCTACCGCGAGGCCCGGGCGCGCGTGGCGGAGCTCGAGAAGGAGAAGCGCCACTGGGAGCTCGAGGGCGCGCGCCTGCGCCACGAGGCCCTCATCCTGCGGCGCAAGTACGCGCGCTCGCTGCGTCGCCAGGGCCACCTGCAGGACGCCCTGATCCAGGCGGGCGTCACGGGGCTCGCGACCGACCTGCCGCCCGGCGCGGTGTCCCGCTCGGCGCGCGCACGCGCGTCCGCCGCCGCCAACCCCTCGCGGCAGCTGCCGGTGCCGGGGGGCGACGACGACTTGGGCGACGGCGACCACGAGGACCAGGCCGGGGTGTGGGCGAGCGCTGAGGGCGAGGCGGACGGCCTCGGCGACGACGACGAGTACGCGTTCGACGACGGCAGCGATGACGACGGCGACTACGACGCCGTTGGGTTCGCGTACGAGCCGCTGCCTGCTGAGCCGCGCAGCCACAAGCCGTCCGCTGCTGCCGCGGCCGCTGCGGCGGAGAACGGCACCGAGGGCGACGTGGACGTCGTCCGCATGGGATCCGTCGCTGCGGGGGCCCGCGACGCGCCCCCCGCCGTCCCCGAGGACGTGTGGAGGCTCGTGCGCGAGTACGAGGGCGACGAGGGGCTGGGGCGGCCCGGGACCGCGGCGCCGAGCGACCTGCGTCGCCGCGGCGCGCGTGCGGCGGAGGCGACGGCGCCGCCGGAGGTCGTGAACCTCGCTGCGGAGTTGGCGGGCGACGAGGGGTACGGGCGGCCAGGCAGCGCGCTAGCGTCGGACCGGCGGGCGTGGCTGCAGCGGCGCGTGCCGGCGGACGTCGAGGAGCGCGCTGCGGCGCTCGAGGGCGACGAGGGCATCGCGCGGCCGCCGACGGCGGCGCCGTCGGAGCGGCGGCCGTGGTCTGGGGTGTCGCCGCGGCGCACGGCGCACACGAGCGCGCGGGCGGGCGCGACGGGGGTGTCGTCCGCGACTGGCGCGTTCGGATCCTCGCAGGCTATGCACAACGGCTGGTCGCGGTCGGACTCGTCCTCGGGAGACAACCCCCCGGGAGACCCTGCCCCGCTGTCAGGCTGGGCGGTCGACGACAACGACGAGGGCGACGCCGAGGGCGACCTCGGCGGGTCGTTCGGGAGCGCCGGGCGCAACCGCGAGCTCGTGGAGGGCCTGCGCGACGACCCGCGCATCGGCGCGGACGGGTTCCCGATATTGCGCGACGCCATGGCCGCTGCCAGAGCCCACAAGACGTCGAAGGGCGCGAAGAAGCGCGACGGGAGCGCGCGGGGGCGGGGCTCGCGCGGCACGCCGAGCAAGAGCCTGCTGAAGGCCACGGCGGCCGGGTGCGACGTGTACCCGACGCGGGACGATGCGGAAAGGGTGGAGATGGCGGCAGCGCAGCTGACAGCGCGCGTGCCGTGCAAGCCTGGCCGGCCCGCGACAGCGCCCGTGGGGGAGGGCGGCCGCGGGCGGTCCCGCGGGGTGAAGGCGGCGTGGGGCGCGGGAGAGGGCGTGGATGACGGTGGGCGCCGGCTGCCGAAGCGCGGCACGCCGCTGCGCCCGGCGCCAGTGACGGGCGGGGGCGGGGCCGCGGGGCGCCGGCCGGCCACGGGGCCCCGCGCGCCGCGGCTGCGCGCGGACGCCCGCGTGCGCCACGTGTTGGGAATCAAGACCAAGATATCCTCTGGGTGCGCACCAAGACACCATGTCTTGATCAGCATCGAACATGCACACTCGAACACGCTGTCGCCGCGTCTGGCGATACAGGAAGAGGGCAACGGCACCGCTCGCGCACCTCCACACGTCTGAGTGACTGTGTTCCTTTTTCTGCGCTGTGGCTCTGTGCAGGAATCTCGTGCCGCTGCAGCTGCCGAGCAAAGAGGACCGCAAGGCGCACCGCGTGTACGTGCGCGAGCTAGACCGGCGTCTGTTCGCCGAGGCGCAGCGGCGGGCGCTGGGCGCGCGCGGCTGGCGCGCGGTCGAGGGTCGCCCGGAGGTGCAGGCCGCTGTCGCGCGCGCGGCGATGCGCCGCAAAGCGGTGCGCCGGCAGATCCCCGCGGAGCTGCTGGGCGCGGCGGGTCCCCGGCGCGGCATGCGGGTGGCGGTGACGCAGAAGGAGTGGGACGCGGTGCAGGGGGACGCGGACGTGCAGGCGGTGGTGCGCGACGCCGTGCTGGCCGAGGCCGGCATGCAGGCCCTGGCGTGAGCGGCGCCGGCGATGCGTGCGACGAGGGCGTACTGACGGAGCGAGGGTGCCTTCTCCCAGCACCTGCTGTGTTCGCTGTCTCAGGCCTAGCAGTGCAGCGGGGAGGTGGAGCGCCGGCGAGCGACGGGCGGCGCGTGATGAACTATCAGTATGAGGAACGTGTCAACTGGGGGTGTGAGGAACGCCGTCCCTCGCAACGCCTCCCGCTCACGTGCTCTCAATGACCCCACTTCGTCGCCAGTGAGTTGTCGCATCGCCGTGAGACCCACAGCAGACACGCTGTCGGCGACGAGTGCGCTTCGCGGAGGGAGCCGGCAACGTCACATGCAGAGCGTCATCACTTGCCCTTGGCAGAGAGCCGCGCCTCGAGCCCCTGCAGGCGCTCCTGCAGCGCCGCCGTCTCGCTCGCGATCCTCCCCTCTATGTCCGTCTTCATCCGCGTCATCTCCGCCTCCAGCACCGCCGCCACCTTGTCCCGCACCTCCTCTGGAAGCGACCCGTCGTACGCCTCCTTCAACTCCCGCTCGCGCCGCTCCTCCGCCTCCTTCGCTGCCTCCTCCGCCGCCGCGGTTTCCTCCTCCTCCTTCGCCTTGCGCTCCTCGGCGAGCTGCGCGGGGCCATGGTTGATGGAACACACAGCGTGGGACACACACGTGGCGGCGCTGGGCGGGGCGGACCGCGGGCGGCAGGGACACGCGTTCGGGGCGCGCGGAGGCGGTTCGGGGGGCTCCGGGGCGCACCTTGGCCTCGTGCTCCTCCATGGGAGTGGCATCCTCGAGGGGGGGGGTCTCAGGGGGGTACTCGACGAGGCCGTCGCCGGCCGTGCGCGAGGTGACGTCGCAGGTGCGGCCGGTGGTCAAGGCGTACTGGTAGAGCTTGTAGTTGCGGTAGTACGCCGTGAGCATCCAGGCCATGAGGGCGTGGGCCTCGCGCAGGGTGAAGATGCCCTCGCTGAAGGGCGGGCGGTGGATGCTGTGGTCCAGGAGGAGGTCCTTGAAGCCCTGGAAGGACCTCTCCACCGTCAAGCGCTTGCCGATCGCGCGGAGGTGCGTCTGGCGGACCATGGCGACGAGTGCAGAAATCTGCTTGGGGGTGAGATTCTCCGCTGCGCCATGCTGGAACGCCTGGAAGTACAGATCGAGCTCTATCGCCTTCTTCTGGTCGTTGCCGTGGCCTTGAAGGCCCAGACAGGCCGCAAGATGGTTGCGGGCAGCCTTGGTCCGCAGCACATCTGAGGGCCCTGCTGTTGGGTCCGGCACCGCCGTGTACGACAGCACTTCCACCACTTGCTGCTCCGTCAGGTCCGTGAAAGCTAGGGGCGCCTGCACGATGGACGGGAGACAAGCCGGCCGGCTGTGTGTCGCAGCGTCCGCGCATGACCGGAGGACGTGAGGGAAGCAGCTCTCAAGTGCACTGCGGCCCCGCTAGGCGGGGACTAGCGACCGACGACCCGGCTCATACTGTACGTCTGACGCCGTTGCCGCGAGGCACGCGGCGAAAGTCGTGCGGAGGCTGTCGTCGCGGCGCCCTCGCATGTGTGAGCACTGCACGCCCCGGCACGGCCGGCAGCGGCGCTGGAATGCGTCGACGTGGTCAGGTCGGTGTCGTTCCTTGATGAAGAGACCACGCACGCGGGTCCGTTCACTGCGTTGCGCTGTGTGCTCACCATGGTGACGACTTCAACCTCCCCGCCCCGCTTGCCCGACCGTCACCGCACGCTGCGGGCTGCTCAGCGGCGTGGAAAGCCTCCCAATCGCCACCGCGCCGCCGTCTGCCGCCAGCGGTGTGAAGGCGCCTGCGTGGCCCCCTCGGACGGGTGCAATGTGGCCGGCCTAGTCCCTCACGTCTCACAGTCGTCCTTGGGGACCATCCGCGGGGCACGAGAGAGAGTGTGGACAGCAGCTCGCGTGGTGCCTTGTGCCCCGGCGAGGCGCGCGGCGCCCCGTCGTGATCGCCAGCACCCGCCGTCCGCCCGGGGGGGTGACGCGCAAGGATCCGCCCCGCATCAGGCACCGTGCGAGCCTGACACAGCTGGGACCGCGCTCACGTTGGGAGCGCCGTCCTACGCGGGCCTGCAGCTTCTTGCGCCGTCCTGTCGCATTCAACCTGCCCGTTGCTCTGCGACGAGGGCGGGGTGGGGCATCGACCAGGGCCCGCTAACCATCGGTCCAGCTGCGCGATGGCAGCGCGGCGGGACTGACTACACACCTCCCACGTATGCCCCCGAGCACGGCCTTCCCGCCCCGACCGGCCCCCATCGTTGTCCGGGCCTGTCATCCGCGGCAGAGCTGCCGAGGCGTGCCCTAGTGCCAACCTGCTCCAACTCCCGTGGAGCGCGCCCCGGGCCATGACATTGCCGACGCGCGCGCTTGCGCCACATTGATGCAACGGGGCTGAATCTGAGGGCCGGGCTGGGTGCTTTTGCGGCCCCCAGCGAGCCCGGGAGTCCCTGTGGGCCTCTCAGCTGTCCGTTCGCGTGGGCCGCTGACGGCGCTGGCTCCGGATGTGTGCCGCAGGGGGAGTCATATCAGTCGTCATGGGGAGAAATCCGCCCTTCGCGGGTGCCTCGGCCCTAGGTGGGCAGGACCTGCCAGTGCCCGTCGTGCCCATGCGGGGCTGGCCGGCGTCGCACGGCGATGAGAAGAAGAAGCTCTTTCCTTCGAGGTCCCGCAGCTCTGCCGGGCCACATAACGCACCAGGTGAGGATCCGTTGGCCCCCGCGGGGGGGGGCGCCACGCAGCGACGGCGTGCACGCTGCGCGCCTCTGTGGCCCGGCGTCACTGGCGCGGCGCCACGCGCCCATCGGCCCGCCTGCGCCGCTCATGAGTGGTCCTGCGGGCCATGTTTGAGTTCACCGTCTTTCGTGCCGTGCCTCACAGGGATCACCGCGCTCAATGGCGTGGCGCCACGGCCCAGGGACCCCTCCACCGGCCCTGCTGACACTGCCGTGCCGCGCGCTGGGTCGCGAGCAGGCAGCGACCGATATACGTCGCTACTGGCCAAGAAAGCCCTACCTCTGCCCGCAGGTGCGACCGCAGCCGAGCGCGCCCACGCACCTTGACGAGATATGTCGTGATCACACCTCCCCACCCGCGTCACGTCACCGCGCGCTGCCCCCTGCCCCGCCTCGCAGCATCGCACTCTCAGAAACAATGCGGGCACCGTGCCGGGGGCACCACCGACCCGCGGCTCGGGTACAAGCCACCAGAAATGAAGCGCACCGTCCGCCGCGCCATCTCCCAGAGCGCCGCGGGGCACCTCGCGATGACCAGGTCCACCGCAGGCACGCGCCCCGCCCGCAACGCTCACGCACGTGCCCTCGCGCCGCCTTGTTGCCCGCGCCCCGACACACCCGCCGTGTCAGCCAACTCAACTCTGGCCAGCTCCAATGTTGCGTCCTCGCAGGGACGCCCCCCGGCTTGCTGGGCCACTCCGGCTCGAGCCGTGCCGCGTCTCCCACGACGCTGCGCGGTCAGCTCCACATCTCGAACCCCCCCCAGGAGCACAGCTGGCAGGCCCCCCTCGACTCCATGTGGTACCAAAAGCCCGGCGGGTCGAACCACGGGGCGCGCGCTGACGCGAAGCTCGCCCCGCGTGGGCCCGCCAGGGACGTGCCGTCGCTGGCCCTCGCGCCGCGGTCCCCAGCGCGGAACTCCCCCACGGAGGAGTGGCAGGACCCCCACGTGCCAGAGCGGAGGAGGAGTGCACCTCGGGGCGGCCCGGCCGCGCAGAACCAGCTGGTCGCGGCGGCATCGCAGGGCAGGATCAGCGACGAGCGCCTTCTGCGGGACCTCGAAGCGCCCCTCGCGCGCCTGGCCTCGGAGCGTGCGCCCGCCAGCAGGGCCGTGCACAGCCTCGCCGAGAGTCCGCCCGCGGCGTCGCTGAGGAGCCCCGGGCGAACCTCACCGGTGCGGGCGGAGAGCCTGACGCGCAGCTACAAGATGCTCGCAACGATGTCGCCCAACGCGGCCAAGCGCATGCTGGCGGTGCAGATGGCGCACGACGTGCCTGCGATGCCGAAACTGACGTCGGCGGCGGCGTCAGCGGCGGCGCTCGCGGCCGCGCACCGGCATGCGGCGTGGCGCACGAACCCGGTGGGCAGCGCGGGCATGGCAGCGCAGCTGGATTGTGGCCCGAGGCCTGCGGTGGGGCTGAGGGTGACCTCGCAGAGCGAGCGCTCTGGCGGGGGCGGACTGGCGTCGCGGACGGCGTCGCTGCTGCGCACGAACTGGTCGTGGGGCCACGTGCCTGGCATGCCCAAGCGTGCGGTGCTGCCGGTAGGCAAGTTGCCGTTCAGCTGTCTGCAGGCGACGGAGCCGGGCAGGGCGCCGCAGGAGTCGTCGCGGACAACGACGCGGTGTACGCGCGCGACGGAGGCGTGGATGGATGACTCGGAGGAAGGGAGCGCATGGCACGGGGCGGGGGTGGGGCGCGTTGACGACGACGACAGCGTGCGGGCGGCTCGCGCCGCAGAGAGCGCGGTGGCCGCGACGGAGGCAACGTACGCCGTGGGGCGCATTCACGGGGAGAGCTACCGTAGCCGGGGACCGTCGCGCCCGCGGACGGTGCTGGGCGTGCTGTGCGAGGGGCGCGGGTCGGACGCGCCTCAGCGCCCGGCGACGAGCCAGAACGCGCAAGCGGCGGGACGCGAGGGCGACTTGCCGTCGCCGGGCGCACCGCTCAGGCGGGCGTCGACCGCGACGACGACGGGGGAGATGCTCAGACCGGGGGCGTGGGGCCTGGCGTGGGCGGAGGAGGACTCCAGTCAGGGAAAGCGGGCGGGTGCCGCGGACAAGGCGGCGGTCGGTCTGAGCCCGTGGCAGCTGACGGCTGTGTTGGAGAAGGCGGACGAGGGGCTGCAGGCCGACTCGTGGCTGCCGTGGGGCGGTGACGGGGCCGCCACCCCAGGAGACGACGAATTCTGCCGATGGGACGATGACGAGGGACGGTGACAGCACGCGCCACACGACGGCACGCACAGCGATGGAGCGGCAGGCTGACATGTCTGCGCGCTCCTGCTTCATTCACAAAGATTGCTCTGCTTGTAATATTTGACGCCGGCGCGCCCGTGCCACGCCCTCGCCACCGGCTGCACGCCCCCGGCCTAGCGGACATGCATGACCCCCATACGATCAACCGGGCAGCCCCCGTAGAAGCCCTGACAGCACCCGCCGACGCAACACTCCCCTCTGCCAGTCCCCGTCCGCGCTGCAAGTAGCGAAGCGTAGCGAAGCGGACGGGGACAGTAGCGGGGTTCAGCAATAGCCCATCGCGCAAGAAACTCGCTTCCGACCATCCGGCCGCGTGCTAGACCGCGGGGGCTTGGCTGCAACAACAGCGGGTGCACTCTGTGCCGCAAGAGCGCCCGGACGAGGACGGGAGGGCGCGGCGAGACACGTCGCGGGCGACCATGACGCGGGGCATTACACGGGCCGTCGGTGCCCTTGAGCAGATCCGCAGGCACCTCACCCATCATGCGTCTCCTCCATCCCCTCTGGCAGCACCAGCCCGCTCTCCCGAACGTCCCACCGACGAAGACGGTCCGCGACGCTCTGCTCCAGCGTCCCCGTCAGACTCGTGCACCCAGCAACATACAGCTCCTCCAGCGCGCACAGTCCCTCCGGCAACCTCCGCATGTCGCTATGCCCGCTATTACGTGCAGCCAGCACCCGCAGCCTCGCAGCACCGCCCAGCACCTCCGCCGCGTCCTCCCAGTCCAGCTCGTCGCACTCATCCACGTCCAGCTCCTCCAGCGCGTCCATGCCCCTCGGTAGCTTCCGTATGTTGCTTTGTGAGGCTCTGAGCACCCGCAGCCTCGCAGCGGACGACGCAGGCAGATACGCCTCGCCGTCCAGCTGCTCGCAGCCTCTCACGTCGAGCACCTCCAGCGCGACCAGCCCCTCGGGCACCCTCCTCACTGCAGGGCAGTCGCTGACACTCAGCCAACGCAGCCTCGCAGAGACCGACGCCGGGAAGAAGCCCTCCGTGATCTCTCCGTCGAAGCCGCCCAGGTCCAGCTCCTCCAGCGCCGTCAGCTCCTCCGGCACCCTCTGCAGCCCAGCGCTGTTCACCTTCAGCACGCGCACTGTGGGAGCATTGCGCAGCGAGCCGACGTCCAGCGACTTGCAGTGCTTCACGTTGAGCTCCTCCAGCGCCGTCAGCCCCTCCGGCACCACCCGCATCGCCGTTCTCGGAGCACTCAGCACCCGCAGCTCCACAGCGCCCGTCAGCGCAAGCTCAGGCTGCAGACTCTCGCACCCGTACAAGTGGAGCTCCCGCAGCGCCCGCATCCCCGCGGGCAGCCTGCGCAGGTTACTGCAGTCGGCGCGCAGCACCTGCAGCCCCGCCGCAGACGACGCCGGCAGGCACGCCTCGTCCAGGCGCTTGCACCAGCGCAGCCAGAGCTCCTCCAGCGCGCACATCCCCTCAGGCACCCTCCGCAGGCTGGTGAAGTCGGCCCTCAGCACCCGCACCCGCCCAGCGCTCGCCGCCGGCAGGAACGTCTCGCCCTCCAGCAGTTTGCACCGGCTGACGTCCAGGACCTCGAGCGAGACCATGCCCTCCGGCACGCGCTCCAGCCTCGTCCCGCGCACCCGCAGCTCCGTGATGCCCGCCGCCACGCCCGCAGGCAGCCACTCCCGCCCCCACACACCCTCCACGTCCAGCCCG